AATTTGAATCTTTATTAAAGTTGAGGAACTCTTGTTCAATTTCTATGAAACAATCAGGGGAAGAATATCTACTTCCTTCTGGAGGTATATAGACAACTCCGCAAATTATATCTTTGGTAGTATTAAATAAAATTTTGTTTATCTTGAACCACATAACATATTTACAATCTGTATTTATCATGCTAACATATTTCACAACAGTATCTTTAATAGCTACAATAATCCCCCCAGATCGGGTATTGGAAAGTTTACGTCTATTTTTCATATAAGTAACAAATCCAGGTATTTGTATTTTATCAGAATTATCAGTTTTAGTTTCTGTTAATCCAATTATATCATATTTTGAGATGAAATCAACAAATTCCCTATAATTCAGTCTGTTTTTTATCCCACATACATTTAATGACAAAATTTTTACATTATTTGCAAATTGAGCCTTACGGCGCTGGGTCTGTTCCTCCGCGCGATCCTATTGTCTGTTATGATCCGGAGATGATCCATACCGGGCTCTTTTGTTATCCCGTCTAGGCGTCTGGGTTGGAGCTCCTTGCTCTTGTTGTGCTACTCTTGCGTAACTCTGAGTCACTGGGGCGGATTCAGGAGGTGCGATGTATTTAACTCCATTTATGAAGAGAGTGTCTCGAACTAGCTTTACACGTTTGTGGTCGAGTTTTGCTTGGCGCATGACTGGATACAGTTTTTTTCTCCTATTCTCGATCTCTTGGGGAAATTGTTCATTCACCCACACATTCGTTCCATGTAATCTTCGGGCTGCATTTTGCCGGATGTACTCCCTATCCTTATAGTAGGTAAATTTGGCTACTATATTTCTAGGCCACTCGCTGAATTCATTTGCTCTGCCCATTCTGTGCACTCGCTCGAAAGGAATGTCATAATCAAGCCTGAATCTCCGACGTATTAAGTTCTGAATCACAGCCTCTGTATCCTCATCCTGGTCCTCTGGGATCCCTGAGAATACCAAGTTATCCCGCATTGATCTGGCTTTGAGATCCGTCACAGATTCTTCTAGTCTTTCCTTGGCTTCTTTTAACGCTTGGACTTCTGATGTCAATTTTTCTTCTAATGTTTTCTGAGTAACTGTATACTCGTCCAGGTTTTTCTTGACATAATCAACGGTCTTTTTATTTTTGTCTGCTGTTTCTTTCACCGAGTCAAACACATTACCTAATGCGCTCACATTAGTTTCAAGCTGTCCAAAATCATTTCTAATCTTTTTCACATCAGTATCAAGCTTTGAAGAGGATGATTTAAGTTCACTTATTGATGTCTGTATAGTCTCTAATGAGGTCATTCTTTTTTCAATTTCACACAATCGTGTCTCAAACCTTTCATTTTTTACTTCAATATTCGATAGTTTTGAATCCATCTGAGTAAGTAATGTATGAATGGTTGACAGTGAGATTTCGCCCTCATTAGATTGCCCAAAAAGTACAGTACGGCTCTGTGCCAGGATCTCTGAAGTTTCAGTCGCAGACATTGCAAATAATGAGTATAATACTGTAGTCCAATACTCTAATGTAATATTAAAAGAGTAATAAGATGTCGACGCAGAATAAATCAGCAGTTCATAACTATTGTCATTAAGAAACGTGAGTTGTTCTCATGGATTCTTACACTCGTTCTACGGGAAAACACCACATAATCATTAAAATCACCATTTCGGAGCATTAAAATACAATGCAAAGTGATCAGATAGATCAAATAGACTCTCTTATGGATTAACACAATAACTATGCCCTCTCAATCTCAAAAATATGAAGTTACTTTGATGTTTTTGTCGGAACCTCTTGATAGACGACTTACCGCTTCGAATGACCTACACCTTCCGAGTGTTCGCTTTGAATTACTTGATGGTCTACTGCAGCCGTTCCCTAGCCATGCTCTCCTCCAGTCTAACGCCAACGTTCACTATGTCTTGTTTCATAGCACAGACTTTCTTTTCAATGTACCTCATGTCTGCCGGGTTTTTCATCAATCTTGAAAATATATTTGAAGGTGAGAACTGCAATTCCCTTTCTACAAGATTTGTTAATAAAATGTACTTGAGTGTAATTGTATATTTTGTACTCCTTTCCATTCCGATGAAACTCTGGGTGAAATCAAGACAATCTTTTCCTTTTAATTAAGGACAGATAATACAAACTTTTGTCAAAAATCTTGAGAATAAGAACCTAAGTCATGTTTATATAAGAAAAAGGAATAAGTTTAACCTAGTACATTTTAATTTTTTACTCAAAATTTAACAATAATTGGATTTATAGTAACAAAAAATTGTATAGATTAATAAGGATGGTTGCAGAAATGTAGAATTTTGAACATCATAGAAAGTTTACGGTTTTTTTTAATATTTTAGGAACTTGTTATTTGCATCATTTGCAACTAAAATAGATCCAAAAATATATACCAATCCAGACATCCATTTTTTTTGTATCATCTGTCCTTAAGTTAAAAAGGAGATTAGTCTTCAAGAAATAAAAATCATTTCTAATTAATGACTTTGTATTTCTAACAAGTTTAGCAAATATTCACCCTTGCAATATAAGGATCTTCCCCTAAAACCTAATAACTTGTTCACAGTCACGTCAATAAAGTCAAAATTTCATTTCCAAATAAGCTTTAAGTTTGTTTTTTTAATTACCAGAGTCACACAAATTACCACGCACACAAAACTGAAAAGTCAAATACAGTATGTTAAAGTCTCACATTTCTTTTTCACAGGTCTACAGTGGGTGTCAAAAATATCATACCTAAAGTGGGGTTTCCAAGGATTGTGTCAGACAGAGATATCTAGGCTAAACTTTACATGCAACTTAAATGACACTCGTCAGTGCATCAATACCGGAAATCAAGCACTGCATCTCTACTCGCTGGACGGAAGCACTGTTTCCGACTCATGTCTCGTGATTTTAGCCTCCATTGCAGTTTATATGGTGCTATATTTCATAGCATTGAAGTTTATTCCACAGAAACCTCATCAAATTTGATTAATTTATTTTTTTTTTTTTTACAAACTTATTATTGTTATCGATCAAAAGAAGCGTATCTGTGAGTGCCTTTTGTCAAAAAAGGTTTTATTTTATTGCATACTCAGCGGAATCATCCGCGTATTTTTTATGCTGTGCGTTAACACTAAGTCTAGTCATTGATCTATTTGGTAGTCTGTGCATGCATATAAGGATTTGTATTTTTGGATTCGCTATGATGTCAAAAATCTTTGTAAAGAGGTCTTTTATATATATATATATATATATATATATATATATATATATATGTGGTATTGGAGATTCAAGGAAGAAAGCGGTCATCGAAAGCAAATCTCTCTTTTTTGTGCCAATTTTTTTCCACAGATCATTCGAATGCCATGTTGGGTTGAAATCATGTCATTTTAAATGTTGTGAAGTGATCTGACATTTTGCTTCGTTCAAATTCAAGTACGTCATCGATTGTTGAAGACAACGAATGTCCCGTTAGCATTTGTTTAATTTATGTACATTTGTTTTTCTTCACGTACGTTGTGCTTTCAATGAAATAAAATCTATAAATATCACGTCTGGGGCAGTTTATGTCAGTGTAAAATTGCTTTATCATGGAAAGTTGCTACTGTTGTATTTTATCACTCCCTGTATTGTTTGGGATTCTTCCATTTTCTATTACTATGTATTTCACTAAAATACTCAAACGCCATACCAAATTAATCGATTACAGCGGTGGCATTAAAGTGGAATGGCACTGTTATATAAAAAGGTAACTGCTAAGAGAGATAACTCAGGCTAAGAGAGATAAATCTAGCCAAAATTAAAAAAGCAAACAAACAAACATACGATAACACTAGGTGAGAGAGATGTATAAGTCTGGCTAAGCTAGGTAACGCTGCTGATATACCTTTATTAAAACTCTAAAAAGAAAAAATGCATCTTTAACAACGATTCACTTTTTGTTCCTTGTGGTATTTTAAACTTGCTTTAATTTCATTTATAGCTCTTTGATATATATTTTTTTTTTTCGGTTAGAAATCGGTATGTAAGTTTTCCTTTAATTATAAATCAAGTTTTGCATTTTGTTCCGCTTTAATTAATTTATTTTTTTACGCAATTACGGCAATTTCATTTTTTAATGGGAACCAAATTAGACTTGCCGGTAGGGGACTAGCTAGTATTGCTAATGCAATACTCTCAGAATGCTTGATACATGTAAATTTGTGAATTATATATTTATCATTTGGGGGGGGGGGGGGATTTGGAAAGCCATAGATCGAATCAAGAAAATAATTACATTTCTTAATTTTTTTCTTCACGTAATGAAAGTTTCCTGCTATATACATTATATAAATAAATCTGAATGCATAGTTCACTTGTTAAACGTACTAGTATATGAAAAGCTTTTCAAATTTATTCAAACGTATACAAGTTAATTACTGGCAGGACTTTCTTTTCGATGAAAGTGTAAATAACATTAACCTGGGAATAATCCCGATCTTTAAAATATTCGACCAGTAATCCTGTGTGGTAAATTGGACCCCTTCCTTCAGCACGGAAAAGACATGCTAAACCGTAAAGTAAATAAACCCAACCTCCCCGAATTAACTGCTATTTTAAACGAAGAGCAGCTAGGAAATCGGGTATAATAAAATATTCAGGAGAAACTGATAAATCATCCCAGTGGATCAATCAACACCCCCAAATGCCCTTCTTTCCGAGTTCGTCGTCGTTAGATATGCATTTTAATGGCAGCCTGTGTTCTAGATGTCTACACTATTGACATGGAAGCTAATCTTTGATTACCCGCTTTATTGACCGCCGCTCTTGGTTTTACTTCAAATCATACCCTGGTAATATTGCTCCAATTCCGTCACACCTTCGTAAGTCTGGCATGTCACGACCCTTTAAACACCTTGGTTGACATAAGTTTTAGCCTGTGTTGTGGAATACTTCATCGTTATTTTGATTTTTGGAATTATTAATGTCTTCGTCTGAACGAGGATGGAAAATCACGAGGAATTGTCGCCGGAGAGCAATGTAAGTATCGAACTTCTGGTTAAAACATTGTTGCAAGACTCGGATAAATAAACCTGGTTTCAATTCAAAATAAATAAATTATTTTCCAACATTACATTTTAATTTGTTTATATTTTTTTTCTTTTTTTCTCCAAAAAATTCGCAAACATAAGCAATCAATTTAATTTATTTTTGGAATTGAAAAGAATTCCAGATCAATGTGTATAAATTAAATAGAAATTAAATATTGCTAAAGTTGTTTAAAGGACCGAGAACAATACAGATAATTATACGTAAAGACTCGAGGCTAAAAGTTTAACAATCTATACATACAATGTTAAAAAATATTACGGGTGTTAGTCCGATTTCAAAACCGTTAAATGTTTTATCTGGTCATAAATTGGCTGACAATGTTATTTAAATAGACAAACAGTTCATCTTAACATAGTTTTTAGCCCAATTCAAATATCCACGCCCCCACACAACTTCGCTTCTTGAATTTATCAGCCGTTTCTTCTCACGGTGACATAGCCCCCCCCCCCCCCAACACACACAAATATAAATATATACCGGTACATATTCTTTAGCTGGAAGATAATTCTGCCTAGTGTGTACTTGCTATTTTATATATGAATGCTTTCGACACTTATGAGATTGTGGAAAAGTATGGAGATGAATTCATCAAGCATGGCCGTAGGAAAATGGGAGGGGGGTGGGCGATATGTCAATATATGGTATACTATAGAAACAAAGCTACTTAACTGATGTGCCCCGTCAATAATTATACAATTACCTCTGGTGACCTTTTTATTTCTTTTTTGGCTTGTCAAGGAATTTTTGATTGGTAGTTCCCATCCAAACTGAAAATTTATGGTTGTGTCACCCAAACCGAAATTGCCTCCTACGGGGTCTGACAAGTTTACAAATGTTAAAGCAATATGAGCTGCATTTTTGAGATTTTTATTTTTCTGTTAAAATGTGTTTTTATGATAAATTTGTATGTAATTTAAAACTTTTGATCAATTAGACAGAAATAAAGTATCAAATTGTTTCAGAATAAAGGATTCTGTACAATCAAATCTATAGTATTATAAGAGAAATCAATATTGTACAGGACGACAATATTGTAATTTTGCTTCAATCAGAGCTTATAAATAGTTCTTCCATCCCAAATATGAACAACAGAAGTTTATAAACGTTCTTTTTTCTGTCGTTGAAATAGTTAATTACAATTTTGCAACAAAAATTTCTGACATCAAAGTTGCAGCTCATATTGCTTTAACTGTTACATCAAAGAAATGATCGTTATATATGGTTAAGGTTTTTATTTGTTTTGTGTGTCAAATCACAGTCAAGTTACTGGGATTTACTTACCCCCCCCCCCCCCCCATTTTCTTTTATATCCACAAAGTTCAACGCAAATTTAATTTCTTTTTTTAACGGAGGATACAAAGTCCCTGAATTAGATTGCTAGTCTTTCTTTTGTTCAAGGGGACAACAACAAATGGAGAAATCACCATTAATAACAATGAACGACCGGACAAAACCAAGCATCGATCCCATAAAAAGAAGAAAAGGGTAGGGTAATGTTAATTATTTACATGTATACTGACAAGTGAAAAGAGTTTGATGGTTTCCGATTCATTATAACACATTTTGATATTTTTCGCAATAGAATGCACAGAAAGAACCCGGACATTTACAGAACCATATCAAGTCAATAACCGTAATGATTACATATAGAGGTATTGTATATTTAATGTCATCGCACATTTTTTTTTAAAAAAAACCATTTCAGAAACATTCCGATTACAACGCTCTTGCAGAATGTCGCAAAATGTTCCGAATGGAAATGATGCAGCTTGGAAAGGAGCTCTTCCAGTTTAGGCAGATGTGCCAGCAAGAGGTATCGTGGTTTTAGTATTTACTGGATCATAACTACATGTATTTTATAAAGTGGATTAGATCTTATGACAAAGCACTGGCGGATTTAGAGGGGGGGGGGCAGGGGGCCGCCCCCTCCAAAATATACATTAGATTTAATAAATCAATTTTTTGGTGTGGCCGAGGGCCCCTACCCCGCCCCCAAACTGCCCCCCTTTCAATATTCCTGGATCCGCCACTGCAAAGTGTTCCAAATTTAACGTTCTTTTCCATGATTTATGCAGATTTCCAAGTACAAGGACCTTCTTAACAATACAGATAACATAGAAAGGGATAAGGAAAACAACATAGAAATCAAGAATGGATACAGTACAATGTAAGAAACGGTTCAAAATCTTACATGCATAATTATGCACCATCCCATACTGGGTTAATCATTCTACCAAAATTAATCTCGATGCAACTATAATAAAAAAGAATTGCCGCGTCCATTTGCTAGTATGGTTGACCCCTCATTTTCTACAATCTATTATTTATTGGAAGGTTGGGTGGGACGTCCGTGGAACAGTACTGGAAGACAAAACTGGACAATCTCCAGGCGGATATGACGTATCTAGAGAAGAAACAGGCCCAACTGGACAGAGAGAAAGAGATTGTGGACAAAGAGGACGAACTGTCTCAACGTCTGGTCAGCCTGGAGAACTACGAACAGGAGGTAAGGGGTGCGGAAGGGGATCGAAAACGTGTCAACTCACTAATGATTACAAATATACAAGAAGACAACATGCAAATTAATGGAAAAGGGATTCATTGCAATTATGAAAACCGAATGCACGAAAGCAAGAGGATTAGGATTAAAAGTAGAATTAAATCTATTTTAAACAAAATCAAAGTAGGGCAAAAACAAATTATGAAACTTCTTGAATTTTTACAAGTACTTCAAAAATATTGAAGACATAATACACCAATTAGAAATAATACTTTTAGATAGAAGAGTTGGAGTCAGTCCTGGACAGACGACAGGCACGGTGTGTGAAGAGACAACAGAGTTTACAGGATCTAGAAGAGGTAAGACAACAGAGTTTACAAAATCTAGAAAAGGTTAGACAACAGAGTTTACAGGATCTAAAGGAGGTTAGACAACAGAGTTTACAGGATCTAAAGGAGGTTAAACAACAGAGTTTACAAAATCTAGAAAAGGTTATATAGGAGGTAAGACAACTAAGTTTACAGATCTATAGGAAGTAAAACAACAGATATTACAGGATTAGAGGGGTAAGATAACAGTTTACAGGATCTAAAGGGGGTAAAATAACAGCGCTTATGGGATATAGAAGAGGTAAGACAACAGAGTTTAAAGGATCCAGTAGAGGTAAGACAGAGTTTATAGGATCTTAAGGGGGTAAGACAACAGAGTTCACAGGATCCAGAAGAGATAAGACAACAGATTTTACAGGATCTAGAGGAGGTAACAGCTTACAAAATGTAGAAAAGATAAGACAATTTAAATTCCCATGTAAATCTCGGACCTTTAATGTGGCCATATCATTGCCAAAACGGCCAAGATAACCAAATAATACTACATAAAAATGCAATTCTCTTTTTTTTGGACTACTTTTGCCTGTTTTTTCTTTGCAAAATATTTTCTCCAACAACATTTTCCAAAGCAAAACTCTCCTTTTTGATAGTTTCAAATTCAACTTTTAATTATGTAGAAAACAAATCACATGATATTCAAGCCATTTTGATTGAATACAAACATCTATAAATGTAGGACATTGAGCAGCATAAAGAGGAGTTAGAGAAAAATAAACAGAGACTGGAGGAGACTCAGGAGAAATCAGACCCATCAGCCACAGCACGTAGACACTGGTAAGTACACCAAATTAAACCTCTGTACCTATCTCTGATTCACATATTATGTAATAGTATTACATAATAACATGTATTACAGTAATACATCAACTCCACAGTGAAAATTAGAGATCTCTGTAATAATTCACATTGATTTATTATATAATTTATAGATTCTGTAAAAAATCATGCTAGTCATTTATCCACAGGCATCAAACTCATACCAAGAACTTTTGTTCCCTGGGGGTACTAAGGGGTCAATTCTTTTTTTAAATGGAGATTGGTGCCTGTGATTTGAACAATATTCTGAAAAACTTGCAATAAATTTTAAACTTTATTCATATTTCACACTTTAGCCAAAAATGTTTTAAGCTGTAAGTAATTAAAATTTTTAGTTTAGTTTTCTTCATATCAAGCTAAATATTGTTAGTCCTTGCACAAAATCAACCTAGGTTATTGAATGTGTCACTGCATGGTAAATATGATATAATATTGGTTTTATGTCAAAATAATTGTTCTGATTTTTGCTGAGGAATTGGGTGCTTGTTTTTGAAATACGGGTAAGCATCTTGCTGATGGTGTTTTATTACAATAATACAAATTTGAAATCTACTTACTGCAACTAATCAGACTTTATCAAAATAGTTTTAGAATTTTTATTTATCATAACATGTTCCATTTGGTTTATAAAGCATGTTCACTTATTATCACAGTAAAGGCTTTCACAGACACTTTTCAAAATAATATCATCAATACACAACAGAGTAGTTAAAGATAGGATTATTTTCTTATTTAAATGTCTGTTGTCTCAGGGAGATAGCTAAGCGTGGAATACTTGAGAAACAGACCGTGCTGGAATCTACAGTGCAGAAGTACCGAGCTGAGCTGGCTGCAGCTTCCTCTAACAGTACAGCCAAGGACATACTTATCAACAAGCTAGATGAACAGGTTTGATACTTGAGTTCTTTTTTGAAGAAATCTTATATCGGTAATTTTGAAAAAAAAAAAAAAAAACAAATATGAAAAACTATCAAACTACAGTTGCAAGCTTGTTTGTCTTTCCAGTACTGCTAGCTGCAGCAAAATCTATGGAGTATAATATTTTGTTTAATTAAAAACTTAATGAATATCTTTAAGGTGAAGTCACTTCATGAACAGTTGGAACAAAGAGACAAAAAGATAAAGAACTTAGAGTCTCGTTTGGTTTTGGCCATTGAAGAATCCAGGAAGGCGACCTTTAGGAATGACACTACCACTTTGTCTGACAGTGTGAACTCCTCTCCGAGCAAACGACCAGACAGTCGTGTCAGTAGACACTCCGACAGTGACCTCTCTCTGAGCAAATCTGCCTCACAAAAGGGAGGCAACTCATTCAGGCACTCTGTAAGGAGGTCAGAAGGGGGAAAAGACAATACCAGGGTCAAAAAAGACACTGCCAGTGTGAGGCATCCAATGAGACTAAGTGTTGACTATGAGGAAGACAGATTTCAGATGGTGAAGTCTCCTTTACCTGACAAAAGTAATGCTTGTTCTGTGATGTGATAGTAAACAGACATTTAAGGATATCCGATCCTCAGCCATGAATGATAACTCTTACAGTTATCATTTTATTCAAATTCTCTAAATGAAGCTTGAAATTGAAATCTTTTCGTGGAACAATTTTCATTTCATCAATCTCAATATGATTCAAGGTTCTTTAAAGTCTTAGAAATGCTCTTGTACAAAATAGACATTTGTACATTTGTACCCCATAAAAGTACAGAAATTAATATATTTTTAGAGAAATTGAATTTCCTTTAATCTTGGCTTAGAAACCAATGCTAATTAGCATATGAAATTAGGAGTGATCTGTGATGTCTTGCAATGAAAGGACAAGCTTTTCGCATTATAATATTATATAACAATTGAAGTAAAGAGAATGAAAATACCATACAAGTATGAAAATATTCTCCAAAAGCCTGGATACCCATAATTTATTATCCTAAAATATATTTTTTGAACAATTTTCAATTAGAAAATGCAAAGCTGGTGCCTTTATTCGCATTTCCTGAAATATATTTGAGATTTGATAATTTTCCCTATATAATATACAAAAATTAACTAAAATGATGAACTCTAAGAAATACTATGGGTAAATACATGTTACTCTGTGAATTCAGAAACGTTTTTGCGAGTATTTTCAATTATTAGATTGCTGATTTTCAGAACCTGGGGATCGGACTACCTTAATTGGGAAGCAGGTTTTTATGGTATGTATGGGAATTCATAATTTCTTGGGTGTAAAAGAGAGCAATACAAAAAGAGATTGAGAAAGATTTCTGGACATCATTTGTTAACCATTATTGAATAAAATTATTATTTAACAAGTGAAAAAGAGTGTGAGAGAGAGAGAGAGATTAATGGGCATTATTTGTTACCTGCCATGGAATAAATTATTATTTAATAAAAATGATAGTGTAAATCACACGTACATTGTATTTTTCATTATGCAGGAAAAAAAATCAGAGAATAATAAGCTAGTGCTTCATTGTTTTATCAATGATATATTTATCCATAAACATTTTCATGTTATTATATATGCAATATGGCATAATAAATTATTGAAATGAACATATTAATATAGACCAAATTAGACACAACAGTGTGTTAATTATATTCACATGTACATGCATGTATATTATTTTATCTCAAGATTTTACTTGAACACATTTTGTCATTAACATTTTATCCACAGTTCATGTATAGCATTGCTTTTAAACAAGAAAATCTTTTTCTAAAATTCTTGAATATACATGTATAAAGATTTCATGTGGAATCTGTGTTAATATTGCAGACTTTAGTCGTAATGAACACTATTTTTTGTTTGAACTGTGGAGTTTTCCCTTTGGATGACATTTTCCAGAATCTCTAAATCATTTCGCTCACCTCCTGATGTCCTTGTAGTTCCAAATATTTCTAGAAAAAAAAGAGAGAAATATCACACTTTTTAGTACGTCATGATCTGATGCTTCATGAAATATGCCTTTGTGACAATTTTTTGTGATTTACACACCAACTCACACAAAACTGAAAACATTTCTTAAAAAGATTGTTGAAAAAAGAACAACAGACTTCTTTTATCTTATAAAAAGAATAAAACAGCAAAAAATTTTTAAAGAAATTTATATGTGAAAACCAATAACATACATGTATTTTGTAGTAAAAATTCTTTTTAATGGATTATGGAAATGCAAATTAAACAATATTTCATTTCACAAAATCATATCATTTTTAAATATAAACTTTGAAAATACACTTTTACTCAAGTTTTACCCTTGAGAAGAAATTCTCTATTTGATATTAGTTAGGTATTTTACCTTCAGCATAAATATAGAATCAGCCCTGTAGGATTCCAGTCTTTTAGCCAAGAGAGCATTCCGGGAACATAACATCCCCAGTAATGAGGCTGCTTCTTTTATTCTGAAAGCAAAATAAAATTCATTTCAATACAATGCATCTAAAAAGCTTTATTAAAGCTAGCAATAGTTGACATCACATGTACTCAGATAACCTTAACAAAAGGTACACAATTTTTTTCAGAATCGGCAATGGATCTAATAGATTTATGTTCATACACATAATTTGAATTATGTTTGCCTGTTTAAGGTTCATAAACCCTCTGCTAACTCATATAAAATGTTGCTTTAACTCTTATTTTTTCTCCAAAAGAACATTATTTTTTAATTAAAATACAAACAATTATATCATAGCTTGCGGGGCAAAATGAACCAAAAAAGACACTTGACAGATCAATATGGAATAATAGACATTTATGTCATTAAGAGTTATCTCTCTTTTTCAGCGTATCAATGAACCTTGAGTGTGGAAATTTTGAAAGATTTTTAATATCAAATTGAATCAGTTACTGAGTCTGACAATTAAGCCATGTTTAACTCTATTGGTCAGTTATTTACAGATCAAGTGGGTCATGTGACTGAAGAAATTAAGTACCATATATATCATGTACTTATACATGCATGCACATCCTTTGACAACATACCTTGTATCAAAATGATTATAACAAATACATTTTCCACTCACTTTTGATGTCTGACTGCAAACTGAAGAATACCATCTATGTTGTTATGTTCCACAGCAAACTTAAAAAAGGACTTGGATAATGGTGATTCAGATATTTCTTGGAAATCTTCTGTGTCAAGGAGGTAGAGAAATACTGCTTCCTCAACCTAAATAGAAACTCCACATTGTGAGCTGTAGGCAAGACTGAATCAGTGGAAATATTGACATCATAGTAATTTACATCAGCTGAATGTAAGGTGTTTAGCCTAGTACCTTTTTGATTTCCACTGCCATCATTCCATGTTTCATCAATCTATTACAATCTTTAAGTAAGCCCAGTCTATGCTGACTTAGAATCTCCTAAAAATATAAATGTCAAAAATTACCCTATTATTTCAGGCAAGTTTATGTTTAAGTTTATAGTAAAGTACACAATATTTCTTGAGATTGTAACTGAGTATTAAAAAATCTTAACTCCTTTGTTAGAATTTTTGTATAAGACACCCACTATTTCTGTGGTAAAATATTTATGGCACACTAATAATGTATTTAAATGCTTGTGTGTAAAGGATTTTATCTTATCTAGGGCCAAAAATAAAATAAGCTTTGTTTGGCGTTGCCGGTCGACTCACATAAATCGGTGTGGACCGAAGTATTTTTTCAACAGATACTGATCATAATTTTTATTCTGTTATATTCATCCGGATTTAAGTGTTTGTACAGAATATATACAGAATGGGAAAGAATCATGTAAACGCTTGATTGATCAAACAGTTTTCATTTATAAGCATCTATGTGATGTTGAATAAATGCGTATCACGAATCCAAGCATATGGCTGTCGAAAGCGGTAAAATGTAAACTCGGTATAACAGAAGTTGATGGCATGACTCTCTGTGGTAATGTGGTTTTAAATGGCAAAAGTAAACTGATGAATCAGATATACCAGTTCGAAATAGAAATTTCATGGTACAATGTCCTGTCTGATTTGCTAGATGAATCTAGCTGCCATGTTTGGATTCGTACACATGATAACGACTTTATACGAATTTAATGTCGGTGATTTTTGATACCATGTATATTAAAAGGTTTAAAACTAAAAGGGTTTGAAAATCAATGACAAAACTGAGAATCAATTCGGACTGTGGTTGTTGTTAAACTATCGGAAACCCATGACGCCCGGATACTAACAACATGTACCATTTCTGAAATTTAAATTTAAAAAAAAAAATATTTTCCCTACCTACCAACTCAAACATATAAAGACTAAGTCGGCAACGCCAAACCAACAATATTTTAATTGTGGCCTAGTACATGTACTTAAACAAGAGGGTCATGGGCCACAACATCATCTGAGTCACTATGGCCCTGATATTCTACATCAGATTTCTTTCCCAATATATCTTTATGTAAAATTTTGATCACCTTTTGTGGCTCCACCCTATACAGAGGGGGTGGTGTTGAAGAAAAATGAATGTACACAACCAGAGGATGCTTTCACATGAATATGATTCATCATGGTTTTGCTGTTTGAAGAATTTTAAAAAATTTTCCCAACAAAATTCCTATTGTTCCCCCCCCCCCCACCATGATCTGAACAATTTACAATCTAAACTGCCTCAGTAATCTTTCATATTAATATCATCTTTCTTCTGTTCTACCCCCTGGGACCATGATCTGAACATGTTCTACCCCCTGGGACCATGATCTGAACAATTCCCTATCTACACTACCTCAGTAATCTTTTCTGGTCCAGTGGTTCTTGAGAAGAAAATTTTTAAAGATTTTTTTCTATATATTTTATTGTAAAACTTTGATTCCCTATTGTGGCCCCATCCTACCCCCTGGAACCATAATCTGAACAGTTTACAATCTACACTACCTCAGGGAGCTTCCACATAAGTTTCAGTTTTTCTGGTCCATCTAACTTGTAACCTGCCTCGGATTAAAATCTGATTGTACTCAGAGGATGCTTTTGAGTAGCAAATAAGTTAGGAGACATAAACACTATATGCAGGTGACAGCGGAATATTACTGCATTATTAAGGAAAGTTGACAATGGAAAAACTGAAGTCCTCTCGTTTGTCATACAATTTTGTTATTTACAGTCAGTAAAACATCTAAATATGAAGCAGATTTAGCAGACTCTGTGGTGTCTTTTATTTCAAGTTCACTGGGATAAATCGAGTCGACATATAAATAGAAATAACTATTGTTACTTGTTAATATGTCATTGATAATACATGTATCTGAATGTGGAGTTGAAGGCCACAGTAAGTGTTTTCTTCTTCTCATGTAGAAGTTTTTGAATAAATTCTGCTTCATACGAATATAAAAACAGGTCGGTTAATAAAGGAGCACAATTAGTGCCCTCCGGATTTCCAACAGATTGTTGGAAGACTTGGTCACTGAAGACTACATAAATGTTGTCAATGAGGAACTCCAGCATCTTTTTAAAACAGTATCAACTTCAGAATTCTTGTGTGTAGAAAAAGATTTTTTTTCCAATATATTTCAATGTTAAATTTTGATTTCCTATTGTGGGCCAAAGGACTAAGATCTGAACAATTTACAATCTACACTCCCTATACTTATTTGTTTTAGCTCTTTTGGTCCTGAGGTTTTAGAGAATTTTTTTTTTAAATCCAGTGGTCCTTCAGAAGATTTTTTGAAGATTTTCCCATATATTTCAAAATTTGATTCCTCATTATGACCTCACCCTACTCACGGGGGCCATTATTAGATTAGAACAATTTAGAATCTACACTATCTCAGGATGCTTCCACACTAGTTTCAGCTAATCTGGCCCAGCGATTCTTGAGAAGATTTTTTCAATGACCCCACCCTATTTTTGCCTTTTTTTGATTACGTCCCCCTGGAAAGGGGCTTAGCCCTTCATTTTAACAATTCAGAATCTCCTTTACCGAAAAATGCTTTGTACAAATTTTGTTTAAAATTGGCCCAGTGGTTCTTGAAAAGTTTAGTGTGAAAAGTTTACAGACGGAGAGACAGACTGACGGACCCCAGACAACGGATCATTAGTGTGATCTTTCAGCTCAGGTGAGCTAAAAAACTCAAAATATTAACAGAATATAACAAATCAAGGGCAGTACTACTAACTTTATTGATTCTCTCAGTCCATCTACTGTTGGTGTACTTAAATAAGCAGGCTTCATATTTTAGCGGCTTTGGCGCAGACAACGATGACTAATTCATGAATACCCCTAAGAAATCATTTATAAATACAATATATGGCAGGGACATATATAGCCCTAATTCATGATTTCCCCAACAACTCCAAATCCAGTGATTAAACTAAATTTTGAATACACCAATTTAAGTACACGTACAATATGTTAATTTTTTTGTAATTGTAATAACTGCACTTTACTTTGATTACCTGCTGTTCCTGTATGGAGTTGTCTGACAGTAACACACAAGCAAACGCACACAGAGGGAGCTCTAGCTTCAGGTACTGCTGTCTCACCACAGATATAATGTTAGTGTCACTCAGCACAGGGCACCTGTTGGTAATTAGTTTACTCATGATTACAGGTTATAAATCTAAATAGAATAAAGCGAGAAGGGTTAAGGTATTTCATAAAAGGGTAAAGGTATTTTAAATTTGTTTTACCTAATTATCAAATTGAAGATGTGAACACAAGTGTCTAATTGGTCCCCTGTCAATGGGGCAACCACTGAAACATACAAGAAAATCAGTATCTAATCCAATTTCTAGCCAACTGTCTTGCCCTCAATTTTTTCCACCTCTAAGATGTCACTTTATCATTGGATAGTTGGTGTCACTTACCTACCATCTATATTTCTGTGGACAGCCTATAGCTACAGTCCTGAAACGTTCTACTTTCCCATTTTTCCGTTCGTTCAGCGTGCATTCACCGTTCGTTCACCGTGCGTTCAGCGTTCGCTCTCCGTTCACAGTTTTGCGTTCAGCGTTCACAAAGCGTTCAGCGTTCGCTCTCCATTCGTTCACTTTGCATTCACCGTTCACTTATCGTTCAGTCTTCAGTGTCATTCAGAACTCCGAAGTGAAAGGACTTATCATTTTGTTAGTAAGGATTTACAGCTTTTTTAATTCAATAATTAACATATCGTGTTTAAAGAATCATTATCTCATGGGAAAAAATTATCCACAACATTCTAACTTATTATTTTTTATTATTCTAACTTAGCTGTAAGGTAATTTACTCTGGAAAATAAATGTTGTTAGAACAAGAAGTCTGTGAGCCAATGCTCACTAATAATACCCCCGCTCTGATGTGAATACACAAGTTCAGTTATGGACAAACACAGTGATAATCAGGAAATTGACACTGGATTAGTAAAAAATGAATCCCAACATATGGCATGCCTAAACAAATATTGTGTTAAGATTTCAAGCACCTGCGATAAGTAGTTGCTGAGAAAATTGCAACCAAAATTTGTTATGTATGGTACAGACAGATACAGGAATAAACAAGAAGTTGACATCGAATTTGTCCCAAAATGAATCCCATTATATGGCATGCCTAAACAAGATTGTGCTAAAATTTCAAGCATCTGCGATGAGTAGTTGCTAAGAAAACTGCAACCAAAATTTGTTATGTATGGAACGGACAGACGCACGGATAAACAGGAAGTTTACATCAGATTCATACAAAAATGAATCCCACCATATGGCATGCCTAAACAAAGATTGTGCTAAAATTTCAAGCATCTGCGATGAGTTGTTGCTGAGAAAACTATGACCAAATTTGTTATGTATGATTCGGACAGACACACGAATAAACAGGAAGTTGACATCGGATTTGTACAAAAATGATGAAACCCAACATATGGCATGCCTAAACAAAGAGTGTGTTAAAATTTCAAGCACCTGGGATGAGTAGTTGCTGAGAAAAATGCGACCAAAGTTTGTTATGTATGGTACGGTTAGAGGCACGGATAAACAGGAAGTTGACATCGGATTAGTACAAAAATGAATCCCATCATATGGCATGCCTAAACAAAGAGTGTGCTAAAATTTCAAGCATCTGCAATGAGTAGTTGCTGAGAAAACTGCGACCAAAATTTGTTAAGGACAGACACACAGACAGCTAGACAGACAGACAGACAGACACACAAGGGTAAAACAGTATACCCTCTCTTTCGGAGCGGGGGTATAATTATGTACCTATGTAGAACAATGCTGAAAAATTAAATTTAAATACGGGCAATATTTAGATACTTCAAGCACTGCAACATTCTGTTGTTATGTTATAGACAACAAATCTTTAATGGATAGATAATTATCCAAGTCAATTAATTTACCAACTGCAGCAAAATAAAGAAAATATTTATTTCTAACACTTTTTTTTTTCAAATACTACAGAAATACATGATAGAACTAGTTCTGAGAATTATACATAGTACTGCGGATATCCTGTCAATTTAATATCTTCGGAACGAATTGAATTGATAGTGTGGTTAAAAAATATTTATTTAAAATGTAATACACTACAGAATTTTCTCTACTATAATATATAAAGTCTATAGTTATATAGAAGATAAATTCTTCCTTCACCATAACTTTACATGTTTGCCATTCAATATGATTAAGAGCCCCCCCCCCCCCTTATTTCCCCTTAAATCGGTTACTTAGTCAGTATTTCCTATATATTTTAATTAACAATTAACATTTAAAAAGAAGTTAATGTGTTTTGTAGCAAAAAAAAATTGTAGTCTCAAAACAACATGCATCTAAAAAAGTCATTAAACAATAGTAGCTCAAAATATACACTGTATTTTAAAATGGCAGAAAGTACTTTCAAATTCAAGTGTTAATGCCCAATGTATTTTATTGATTTATTTATTTATTTTAGAAATGTTGGAATCAAATCTATAGGAATGATAAAAAAAAATGTTAAAACTTGTTTGAAATACTAGCACTTCATCTTCGGTGTGACGAGACTTTCACACCTGCACAATGTCGATTGATTTTGATTGACAGGACAAGCACGTGGACTTTGTGTGAACTTGAAGCAGGAAAATTAAAAGAAAATAAGTATGAGTGTCAAACAAATGGATTTGTTGATTAAAAAAGTTACTTTCATTGCCTGACTAATTTAGAAATAAAATAACTTTTTTTGTTTGATATAGGTACAAACATTTGGTGAAACCTGAGAGGGGGGAGGCAAAAATGGAATCTCTCTCTCTCTCTCTCTCATTTGTCTGTTTAATCAAAACTCTGACACCATATAACTTAAATATCAAGTTCTAAAATTTTAATCTAAAACAAATAATATGAATATACCTCTTTGTATTTATCTTGTCAGAGTATAATCACGGAGAAATGTCTACAGGTAGATGTAGAAGTAGTCTGCTCATTAAATCATCACAAAAAATAGAAATGACACATAAAAATATATTATTGCATTAAGAATTTAAAATACGAGTGTATATTAATGCGAATACATCCACAGACCTTTATTTTTTGGGTTTTTTTTTTTTGCATTATTTTACACGGAATCGCCTCGGCACGAAATAAATGAATGGATGTTACAACCGTTGTAATTCATTCTATAAGTCAAAAGTTTTCTCTTATTTGTAATGGTTATTTGTATCAAATAAGAATATACATATTCATTTTCCAACTAAAATAATTTTTTTCTTTTATACTACAGCATTCGGTAACAATTACAATGTTTTACAGTGACAAAAATTGTGTGATTAAAAAGTTGAATTTAAACATCATACAAGAAAGATACTTAATGTGCATGTATCACCTTTCTTCAGAAAATTGTGTAGCATTTATTTATTTAATCATTGATTTGTTTATTTATTTATTATCTATTTTTCAGCACCTGACATTAGAATACAATAGAATGGTTTCAATGGAAGGCAAAGATCAGAAGCATTCCGAATAAATCATTCATCTTGCGTTCACCGTTCACTTTGCATTCGCATTTGCGCTCCGTTCGCGTTCTGCGTTCGCTCACAGTTCAGCGTTCACACATCATTCACCAAGTTGCGTTCAGCATTCACACATCGTTCACTCACCTTTTGCTCTGCATTCGTTCAGCGTTCGCTCACAGTTCGTTAAGCATTCGCTCAGCATTCAAGTGGGAAAGTAGAACGTTTCAGGGACTGTATTATTTAGACAGTAATATGGCAACTAAAAATACAGTCATTTTAAGTATGGTTATTTAAAGTATAAAAAATTGTAACATTATTTTCTTCTTTTAAAAAAAAATATGAATTATGGTTTTAGCCAATGTAACAATGTAGCTTTGAATTTTAGAGTAATGTCCCTTCTCTAATGATGATAAACAAAGAACAAGAAGAATTGAGGGCAACTTCCTAAGATGAGTGTAGAATAAATTAATTTATGCATTAAAAGTACAGTAAAAAATTTTTTTTTTATCTTTATCTACAAAAAAATTACGTTTGCTTGGCTTTTTATAAGCTTGATCAATTTGACATACATTACGCGTTTCTCCAGACAACTAAAGCCTAATTCATAAACATATTGACCTGACCTAAATCAAAAGATTTACAAACACTGTGTAACATTTTTTTTTGAACATAGCAAATTATTCACAAGTTTTTATAACTGATTGTTTACAAGAGGTATAAATATTTAACCTTTTGTAAGTGGCGTGACTAACATGGTTTGCCAAGCTCTGGAGAACATGGAAGCCTGCCAGACTTCTGGTGCTGCATTCAGTCTTCCTAACACATATTCCAGCTGGTCCATCTAAAACAGAAAACATTTGTACATCTACAGGCAAGACAAAACTGAGTGGTTCCACTTTAAAATTACCTGAAAATTACTTCTAGAAATTTGTGTGAAATTTATTAATGTAAAACTGAGTTGATACAAAATCCATACCAAACCAAAGTGAACAAGCTGTTGTAAAACTCCATTCCAGATCTGAACATCATAAATTTTGTAGTCCAAACACAGGGCAGCTACCAGCATGCAGGCCTAAATATGACAAATAATGTAGAGATGTTCATTTCTTTTTTAATTTGTGTAAGTAATCAATCTAAAGCGAGTCAAAATCCACTGTGGATTAAACTCAGGCAAACACCTATGACATACATGTACTTAAGGAATAACTGTTTAATTTTTTGATTTCATGATGTGATCAATCGATTGGCTTGCATGATAATTTGCATAAACGCCAAAGGCGTTTATGCATAAAATTATCATGCAAGCCAATGGATTGATCATCATCATGAAACCAAACAAGAGGCCCAAGGGCCTTGAATCGCTCTTCTGATAAACTGTACAACCTATCACTTCTATTTGAAACCTCTAAGTATCCTGTATATTTAGATAAACCCTTGAAATTCCAATTCACATTCTGAGAACCCAAGATGATTCTAAGCCAACTAGTACCAGAGAGTTGGTCAGGTGACCTACTTATCACTTGTCATTCTCTGAGGACCCATCAACTAAGTTTGATGACTCTAAGCCAATTAATACCTAAAGTATTTTTTAAAATTATAACCATATAATTTTATAATTAGGTCAAAGTGACCTACTTTTCAGTTGTTGTACTCCAAGGACCCAAGATGCATCAACTGACAAAATCTGATGATTCTAAGCCAATTAGTACCCAAAATATTTAATTAAAGCCATAAATTTTCAAAAGTAGGTCATGGTGACCTACTTTTCAGTCAACCTATACTCCGAGGACCGAAGATGCATCAACTGACAAAGTTTGATGATTCTAAGCCAAATAGTACCCGAAAATATTAAATACAGCCATAAAATTTCAAAAGTAGGTCACCGTGACCTACTTTTCAATTGTTGTACTCCAAGGACCCAAGATGCATCAAGTGACAAAGTTTGATGATTCTAAGCCAATTAGTACCTGAAATATTTAATTAAAGCAATAAAATTTCAAAAGTAGGTCACGGTGACCTACTTTTTAGTCAACGTTTTTGAGGACCTAAGATGCATCAACTTACAAAGTTTTAAGATCATAGGCTTTAAAATGTCCAAATTATGCCTCTAAAACGCTTTGAAATCGAATGCCTGCAAAGTTCAAAAAGTAGGTCACTGTGACCTACTTTTTAATAAATATGTTTTATGGCCCCAAGATGCATCATCATACAAGATTTAATGATTCTAAACCTCTCCGTATTCGAATTAATGACCTTAATTGTCTTGAAAAAGATTAGCTATAAAATTCAACAAGAGGCTCACCTGAGCACTCTGGCTAGGAAAAAGCAGAAATCAATTCAGTCTTGAAAAGTTTAAATATAAAATTAAATATAAAACTGGTTCGGGGGGGGGGGGGGGGGGGGGGGTTTGGTTATTTGAACTAACTTGAATCTAAACTGTATAGGGATGCTTTTGAATTAATATGACAAATAATGGCTTTGCTATTCTTAAGAAGAAAATTTTGATTGATATATCCTTTGTTTTCCTTTGTATGATCCCCTGTTATGGCCCCTCTATTCTCCAGGGGATCATGATTTGTACAAATTTGAATCTATATTACCTGATGATCTTCCATTTAAATATGACTAATCATGGCTTTGCTGTTCTTTGAGAAGAAGATTTTCAAAGATGTTCCCTATAAATTCCTATGTAAAACTTTGATCCCCCATTGTGGCCCACCCTACCCCTGGGGGTCATGATTTGAACAAACTTGAATCTACACTACCTGAGGATGCTTCCATATAAATATGACCAATCATGACTTTGCTGTTATTGAGAAGAAGATTTTTAAAGATTTTTCCTATGTTTTCCTATGTAAAACTTTGATCGCTCATTGTGGACCCACCCCTTCACCCGGGGGTCATGATTTGAACAAACTTGAATCTACACTACCTGAGGATGCTTCCATATAAATATGACCAATCATGGATTTGCTGTTCTTGAGAAGAAGATTTTTAAAGATTTTTCCTATGTTTTCTTATGTAAAACTTTGATTACCCATTGTGGCCCCACCCTACCCCCGGGGGTCATGACTGGAACAAACTTGAATCTACACTACCTGAGGATGCTTCCATATAAGTTTCATATTTTCAAGCACAGTGGTTTTTGAGAAGATTTTTAAATGATGCCATTAATTTTTCATGAATTCATAATTATCTCCCCTTGGAAGAAGGCGTGGCCCTTCATTTGAACAAACTTGATTCCCCTTTACCCAAGGATACTTTGTGGCAAGTTTGGTTGAAATTCGCCCAGTGGTTCTTGAGAAGAAGATGAAAATAAAAAAAGTTTACGACAACGACGACTACGACAGACAACGGACAAATTTCAATCAGAAAAGCTCACTTGAGCCTTCGGCTCAGGTGAGCTAAAAAGTAGGTCAAGGTGACCTACTTTTTAGTTGACGTACTTCGAGGACTCAAGATGCATCAACTGACAAAGTAGGCCTTAAATTGTTCAAAATATGCCTCTAAATCATTTTGAAAAAGAATGGCCGCAAAATTTAAAAAGTAGGTCACCTTGACCTACTTTTGAGTCAACATGATATGAGGTCTTTAGATGCATCAACTGACAAGATTTGATGATCCTAGTCCTTATAGTAAGCAAAATATCAACATTTTAATAAAATGTAATTTTTTGGCAACTTTGAAGTGACCTTGAGACCACTCCCTTTGCCCCAGGGTAAATCCCTGTGCAAATGTTAATCTACAACATATCCTCATCCTTTTGTGTAAGTTTGGTGATAATCTGCCCAGTGGTTCTTGAGAAGAAGATTTTTTAGCAACCAGTACTTTTGTTTCTATTTTCCTAATTATCTCCCCTTGTGAAAGGGTCACAACCCTAGTTTTAGTATAAAAGGAAGCCCTTGGGCCAAGGATACCCTGTGACAAATTTGACAATAATTGGCCAAGGGTTCTTGAGTTATGGCCCATATTCTAAAAGGTTTACGCACACCGCACAAATGGCCATAGCATTAGCTCTTTGAGCCTTTGGCTCAGAAGAGCTAAAAATCTGACAGTTATTCCTTATATTTACATGCTCTTGATTCTGCAAATTCATGTGCTACAAGCCCCGCTTCTTTCTCTATTTGTCCCGCCCCGCACATGATTTTTTTTTCACCACGCCTATCGATGAACCAGTAGATTTATGTAGAAATACAGTATTTTTACTATTTGAAATTTTATCTCGGACAAAGACTTAGACTTAGAAATATTGTAGGTTAGAGAGATAATGAAGCTCATTTTCATGTATGTTACCTATAAGAGGAGAAAAGTCTCACAATAAATGAGTGTTCAGTAAGCTCCATTCATTTTATGTAAATTTATTATCAGATCTTCTTTCATTAAACAGCTTGAAATAGTTATACATGTAACTTGCAGCATTTAGCAAGGAAGCATCTCTACATTCATCATCTATGCAAATTTAGTCAAGGTAAAAATTCTTGGGAATGGACCCATTCCATAAAACTTAATCTGGTTATGCAATTATGTAGAAAAAAATTATTGTCAGACTTGATGCTTTGTATTGAAAGGGAATTGATGAAAATTCTAGAAGTAGAATTCCAAAAGTAGATTTAGTTATGATATCCCAATTTTTGATATCATTTTTTAAAACATTTTTTTGACATTGCATTGGGAGTATAAGGCAGAGAGTTCAGATATCAATCATTGCAAGAAATGTTGGGCAACTATGAATAAACACTTTTTTATTTTGAATTTTTCTGTTTTCTCTAAAAAAAAATGGCAATAAAACCTTCGAGTGGTAGTTAAACATCTACCCTGCCTCCCACTACAATGACTTACAGATTTTTGATGACTGTGATTCCTCCAGATTCCTTTGATCAGCCCCTCCTTGTTGGAGGATTCAAACGTCTCCACTGAGTGCAGTATGTGGAGCTTCTCCAGGGCTATCAGGTAACTGGTCGTCTTCAGCAGGTTCCTGGATAATCAACATGGAGATATTTCAAAATGATGACTTTATGTGGATTTAAACAATGTAACCACTTAAAAATTAATAAAGCATACAGAAAAAAATACAATACACTAAAAATATGAAATTTTGAATTGCAAAGTTTGAAAACTGTAACATTCAAAGTTAAATTCTTCATAAAACAAGTCCAGTTATAAATTCCCTATCCCAAAATCTCTACCTAAGGTCCTCAATACTACGTCCACACATTTTCTGGACAATCTCATCTTGACGTAACTCCAGCAAGCAATGTAAGGCTCGCATCTTACACATATTTGTGACTGAGGTCATTTCTCCAGTATTCTGATTCTAAGATGAAAAAGCAAAAAAATAGTAGTTATTAATACAATGTCTGACTTCAGAATCCTTTAAAGAGATTTTTGTAAAGTTCTTTGCAAATTCAATTTTGCCTCACATAAATGTACAGTTATTCTGAAATGCTTTGTCTTATTTGTATACACATAGATGAAAACACCTACAACATTTACATGTAGTCTGCAGAATCACATTGCTTGATTATAAATACAAGTAGCTTTGTCTGGATGTTCAAATTCAATCATCTAAAAATTAATTCTCAACATTGTAAAAAAGACCAAATTTTGGCTTAATTAAGTACCACCATTTGAAACTATAAAAGGAAAACTCACCTCAAAAACAAAGTTAAGGAGAAAAGTGACATTCTCCTCAGCTGATCCTTGCTGAAGGAGGTACAGAACTCTGCTCAAAAGAAAAAGACAAAACATCAGTTTTTTTCAGCACTAAAAGATCCTGACAAGATCATGACAAAATCACCAGACATGAGTTGTACCAAGTCGTTACCTTTTTAAGTTGATAATTTCATCTTCTGCATCATTCATCATGCTTTGTTCTGCCAACTTCAGACTCTCAAAGTTAAATGTTACGGTCTGTAAAAGGTGTTAATCAAATCTTTTAGGAAAATATCCTTTTGTTTGAAAGTTTCATGCAAGAATTAGGAAAAAACTATTCCTGAAAGCAAGATGTTTATTTACTGGTAAAAATATTCTTATTGAGGAAGGCTTCCCTGAATTTTGACTACTTACCGACTCTCCATCAGTCAGTTTGGAGGATGAGGATGGAAGCCATTGATTGATGAGGGTCAGTCTCATCTTATGAAGGTCAGTGTGGGTCACTCTAGCTATCTCCTCTGCCACCTTGTGGATATCTTCACAGAAAACAAAATTATCACTGCTTAAAATGACAATTAATTCATTTACATGTAGTTTTTCCTTAATTTATAAATCCACCAGAATCTTTTCTCATTTTTTGTCCAATAAGAAAAGACATTTTACTTTTGAAATATTATATCAAATAAGAATGAATTTAATTACATGTACAAGTAAATTTTATATACATGTACATGTATGTCTTTGCTTTGTAACCAAAACAGTGTCAACTCTTGCAAAACCACTCTGATTTGAGCTAAGTCACCTAAGTGCTGTACATACATGTATATTAGTATCATAATTACAAGTGTTACCAGGTCTAGGCAATTAAAGATCTGTCTGTGTGATACTGTGGTGCTGTATTATACATGTATCTTATAATAAAATTACCTGGTCTAGGCAGTGAAGGATCTGTCTGTGTGATACTGTGGTGTTGTATTATACATGTATCTTATAACAAATAAATACCAGGTCTAGGCAGTGAAGGATCTGTCTTTGTGATACTGTGGTGCTGTATTAGTATCTTATAACAAATAATTACCTGGTCTAGGCATTGAAGGATCTGTGTGGTACTGTGGTGGTGTATTATACATGTATCTTATAACAAGTATTTACCTCATCTAGGCAGTGAAGGATCTGTCTGTGTGATACTGTGGTGCTGTATTATACATGTATCTTATAACAAATAATTACCTGGTCTAGGCAGTGAAGGATCTGTCTGTGTGATACTGTGGTGTTGTATTATACATGTATCTTATAACAAATATTTACCTCGTCTAGGCAGTGAAGGATATTTCTGTGTGATACTGTGGTGCTGTATTATACATGTATCTTATAACAAATAATTACCTGGTCTAGGCAATGAAAGATCTGTCTATGTGATACTGTGGTGCTGTATAATACATGTATCTTATAACAAATAATTACCTGGTCTAGGCAGTGAAGGATCTGTCTGTGTGATACTGTGGTGTTGTATTATACATGTATCTTATAACAAATATTTACCTCGTCTAGGCAGTGAAGGATCTGTCTGTGTGATACTGTGGTGCTGTATTATACATGTATCTTATAACAAATAATTACCTGGTCTAGGCAGTGAAGGATCTGTCTGTGTGATACTGTGGTGTTGTATTATACATGTATCTTATAACAAATATTTACCTCGTCTAGGCAGTGAAGGATCTGTCTGCGTGATACTGTGGTGGTGTATTATACATGAATCTTATAACAAATAATTACCTGGTCTAGGCAATGAAGGACCTGTCTGTGTGATACTGTGGTGCTGTATTATACATGTATCTTATAACAAATAATTACCTGGTCTAGGCAGTGAAGGATCTGTCTGCGTGATACTGTGGTGGTGTATTATACATGTATCTTATAACAAATAATTACCAGGCCTAGGCAGTGAAGGATCTGTCTGTGTGATACTGTGGTGCTGTATTAGTATCTTATAACAAATAATTACCTGGTCTAGGCAGTGAAGGATCTGTCTGTGTGATATTGTGGTGTTGTATTATACATGTATCTTATAACAAATAATTACCTGGTCTAGTAGGGCTGTCACGGTTCCAAAGTTTTTCGGGTCGGGTCGGTTCTGTAAATTTTCGGTTCGGTTTCGGGTTTTTCGGGTCGGGTATTTACATCTATTTTAAACCTTAATTTCATGAATTTAACTTGAAAAATCTTTATTTGTTACATTAAATTTACATTGGAAACAAGTCTTAACCATGAGAATGTCTAGACATCTGTGACTTGGCCTACTATTAGCCACAACCTGACCATTCCTGCTCGTTTTGATAATTATCTTATACTTCCGTGACAAGTGTTTTGTCATGGAATGAAGTAGATTTCAGTTGTGATGTTTATTTATCACTGTTATCGTCACCATTCCTTTGATTTCGACGCCATTTTTTGTATTGAACAGACTCTAATATGTAAACCAGACCCGAACCGAAATACGGAAAAATGGAACCGGAACCTAACCGAACAACTTGGACCGCGGTTCTCGGTTATTTCGGGTACTCGTGACAGCCCTATGGTTTAGGCATTGAAGGATCTGTCTGTGTGATACTGTGGTGGTGTATTATACATGTATCTTATAACAAATATTTACCTCGTCTAGGCAGTGAAGGATCTGTCTGTGTGATACTGTGGTGCTGTATTGTACATGTATCTTATAACAAATATTTACCTGGTCTAGGCAGTGAAGGATGTGTCTGTGTGATACTGTGGTGCTGTATTATACATGTATCTTCTAACAAATATTTACCTCGTCTAGGTGGTGAAGGATCTGTCTGTGTGATACTGTGGTGCTGTATTAGTATCTTATAACAAATAATTACCTGGTCTAGGCAGTGAAGGATCTGTCTGTGTGATACTGTGGTGTTGTATTATACATGTATCTTATAACAAATAATTACCTCGTCTAGGCAGTGAAGGATCTGTCTGTGTGATACTGTGGTGCTGTATTAGTACCTTATAACAAATATTTACCAGGTCTAGGCAGTGAAGGATCTGTCTGTGTGATGCTGTATTAGTATCTTATAACAAATAATTACCTGGTCTAGGCAGTGAAGGATCTGTCTGTGTGATGCTGTGGTGTTCGTACAGTTTGGAGATCAGTTTGGCAGGATTTCCAGCCAACTGCACTAAATCGGGCTCTCCGACTTTGTTTACAAACAGAATTTGCTCTGTTGCCAAACGTTGGTAGGCACCCAGGAACTTTTTGTAAGCTGCTTTTGCTTTTTCCTTCGTTGGATTCTACAAAGAATGAGTGTACTTTAGAGCGTCATTTGGAACCTTTTCGGCCACCCATTTTAAGCCTTGAATTAGACTATATCGCTAAGTTTATCTATGATTATTGTGCATACATATGCTTTTGATATTTTTACTTTGAATATTTTGTTTAGCATATTTCTATAATTTCACACGACGTCATTGAAAAGAACATGTATAGGCCTTAAATTCCGGAAATTTGAACAGACCACTTTCGAATTTAAGGTACACGCAAATGGGCGGAGATATTTAAATCGCATGGAAGTGGACACATAACGTAAACATTTGCACTATATTTCAAGATTGACTCCACAGTACGAATTTAAATGGAGGAGAGAGAGATTGTGTAGTTGTATGATTCACACAAATAAAAAATGATTCATGACCATACGTACATATTGATAATTTTTATGATCCGTATCCATATGTTTGCTGCCTAGCACCGAATCAGCTCAATATCTTAAGTTTTCGTATATATCTGTATAAAAAATGCCCCCCCCCTCCCCCTCCTTAATGTATTTTTAAGGAAAGATTCACATTTACATGGCTTCGATGTCACACTACATTTAATCGTAATTCACTGTACATGTTGTATGTAGTAATACAAACGTGTAGTGAAACAATTAAAGTATTACATGTATGTAGTACTCACGGTGATACATATTTTATTATATGCATGTATAGATAAATAACACTTGGAAATGAAATATAAAGTTTTAACTGAAAATTTGAGTTGCTAGCTTAACATGAAAATTCCAAGAAATACAAACTATCTGTGAAGATTATGCACTTCATGTTATGCTATTGATGATGAATTTCATTTCTTTTTACAATGTCATTGTAATATACAAGCAAGGAATATACTTATAAAAGCCATGCTAAATAATTATTGTTCCTCATTCTATCTCGAATCACCCATACAGAAACTTGAATATATATACTTAGTCCAACTCGTGAAGTTATACTGACTGTTTGCACTTTTATAAAACAATCATTAGAATTAAGAAATAAAAGGTCCACATCGGTGTAACATATATTGAGTAAATTACTTAAATTGTGCCTATTGTTATTAAATATTATTCATTGTTCTCTGGGTTTTTTTTTAATTTTGCAATAAAGAAATTATAAATGTAATTTAAATTAACATTTTTTGACAGAACAAGTGTATTTGATATTAAAAAACACGGTCAAAGAAAATTCTACAACGTTACTATGTTGATAATCACTCGCAAATGTCTTCAATATCTGTTTCATTTCGGCAATCTAAATATTGTCACGTATGATACTAGTGTTTAGGGATGTGTCTGTAGATGCTTGCAGACCATAATACAGAGGCAACATGAGGTAGCACAGCTACATATACCTACTAATTGTGCACCTGATTTGCACTGGCAATACCAGAATTTCTTTCAAAATTCCAAACGAAAAACACAATTTAGTGAAAGAAGATGAGGTAAACTTTAAGACCTTAATAAAATTTTCGCAAAATTCTTCAATATTTTGAAGTTGCTCAGGCCGGTACACACGGCGAGATTTGTAATATAATACAAGTATTATATTTATATTATTATACTTCCCTGTTATACATGTCTTATTATATTATTCTTTGTCTACGCTTATACATGTCTTATTAGATTGTTAATAGACTTTAGGTATTTCTACGTGTTTCCCTCGCATTATCTCTCTCTCTCTCTCTGCACTGCATTAAAACTGAAAAGACCACCATTATGGAAACAGCGGCGGAACACTCGTACGTGTACTTGGTGCACATAATGTATCGCTAGATGAGGTGCAAAGAGAAGGCCCCAGAAGTTATTTAGAATAGATAATGCAGCATTTATGCAACTTTTACAACATTTAATCACATGTAGTTACTCCTTTTGATCTCCTTCCCATAAAACGTATGTTTACTGCTAAAGTCGACCATTATTTACCATGTCCTTTTTTTTGTTATGATAAAAATAGGATGACCCCAATGTGAGTACTTTTGATTGTATTAAAAATGAAAGGTAAGTTAAGACTTGTATAAGAAATAGAGCATTGCCCTTTTCTTAATAGTTTTATAAGATTCGAAAAATCTTATGATTAACTGTATTAAAAGTCTATCCATAGTAAGATTTTGTACTTAAGTACATGTACATATTCGTGTGTACAGCCATGAAGTTGATTGACAGCCACAATGAAAGCATATCTAACAGTGGAATGTCACGTGAGTAAAGTGATTATGATATGAAACGGGTCAAAATAGGTTGACACTCGGTGACCTGTTAATTTAGTAGCTAACTCGACTGACGTTTGGAGAATTTTTCAAAAAATTACATATGAGCCGCAAATTGTCCAACATTGCCCTTTGGATATGTATAAGTTTAGATCATAATACACATTCTGTGCAAATGAGACGAATGGACAAGTTGCAGCTCGATGTAAACAATGTCGTTGAAAAATGGTATACATATGAATAACAATAGAAATGTGACAAAACTGCTATACCCCGTTGCAAAAACCAGTGTCGCTCGGCATTATTTAATATTTCCATTTGATATAATATATCAAATCCTGCTCTTAAGATATTGTTTAATAATAACGATTCAAAAAGTTTATAAATTTTGGAAATTTATTTTTGGCAAAGCATCGGGACCCAACTCTCATAGCTTAAGTGCACTGATCCTTTATGCAGACAAATATTTAATATCATTACATCCTTAAAGAATTATGACTATAAGAACAGAAACTGTATGTTTGTGTAGATTTTCTATAAGACAAAAATTAGACTGTAAGTTGTATACTTACATCTTCAGGGACCGATTTATACCAAAGCTCTGCATATGTCATACAGCCAGCCAGAGCAAGTACTTTCTCTGCACCTAAAACAAAATAAAGCATTAGAAAGCTTAACCTTTTGTAACATAATTGGTAGCTCAGCTACCATCCATTTAGCACAGGCCTCAGCTGTTTATTACCACTAACTCTGCTAATTGTGTATCCACTCACCTAGTTGTAGCTCAGCTACCATCCATTTAGCACAGGCCATAGCTGTTTATTCTTACTTACTCTGCTAATTGTCTATCCACTCACCTAGTGGTAGCTCAGCTACCATCCATTTAGCACAGACCTCAGCTGTTTATTACAACTTACTCTGCTAATTGTCTATCCACTCACCTAGTGGTAGCTCAGCTACCATCCATTTAGCACAGGCCATAGCTGTTTCACAGTTAGACACCTGCTTCAGAAGCTCCTGTACATCACTCAGAAGTTCTGTGTTGGCCTCCTTCATCTCCCAGTTCCACTGTGCCTTGTCCACAGCATTATTTCCGGGCTGATGACCGGATTTCTTCACCACACCCACGTGTCTCTGTACCATGTTTCTGATGGTCATCAAGAACAACTGGTCTCGGTCCAGCTAATCAACAGAAACAAACAAGTAGAGATAAACAAACACTGCCTTATAGAGAAACTATATGGATAACTCTCAGAATGCCAGTATAAGGAATGCCTATTATTTACCTTTAAAAGCGGTGCCATGTTCAACCAGGTAGCTATAGTCTCCTTGGTCAACTCTGGTGCTGCAAATCGAATATAAATATTGATTATAATTCAGTGTCATGTACTTCTCACTCTGAGATTTCTATACTTTATCACGTAAAAAATACTATTGAACAAGGAACAATATATTTGGTCTTTCACAATGTATTTAGAATAGACAATTCCTTACTGATGATTTTCCAGGGGTCATCATTTACCAGGGGATGAAATGGAAGACGGTTTTTACTGGCAGCAGGTAAACACTCCATTATTTGAAGCTTAAAAATGTATTTTTTTTAGTAGCTCGTAATTTAACATCCCTGAGTTGCATATCAGTTAAAGTCTGAAATTCTCTTTTCAATATTTGGTAATATTATAATTCTTTTCTCATGCAATTACAATGCTTTTTTTTTTTTTACATGCAAGAGGAATAATTTCTAGGAAATAAAGAGATAACAACAAACTCACATCGTCCCTGTTTTCTCCTGAGTGGTGCTGTACCTCATACTTAGAGGGTTCTGACTTCCTCTTATAAACTCTCAAGTAGTTAAGCAACAACAAGACCTACACAAAATAAAGCTATCTGTGAGTGACTTAACCCACCAAAGGATACATTCAAAATAGGATACTTAAACTAATGTATAATAACTTTCAAAAATCTACATTGTATTTCATGTGGTCATAGCCATTGATTTTTAAAGTTTCCTTGGTAAAAAAAAATTAATTCACAAATGGGTTTCAAATTGACTAACTGCAAAAAAAGGTTGTTTTGAATAATGGATGGCTTATAGTGGACTCCTTCTAACCTTAATAAATATGATATAATTTTTTATTCTTAATGAAAGACAGAATTGTTTCCCTTTAATTTCTCTTTTTTCAAGTACCTTGTCTGGATGAAGTTGATTTATCTGAATTTCCAGTCTCTGCATCTCATTTAAAAGGAAAGCCAAGGTTTCATAATCATAGGAATCTGTCTGAAAGGTCAAAGATCAATTTCAAAATGCAGTGTATTTCATGCTTCACATCCAAAATCATCAAAAGACCACAGGATCAAGAAATTCCGTTTTGTAATTTCAGGTATAAATACCTTGCTGTACATGGTTACTAGTTTTTTCATCAGATTGTCTTTGGCACTGATCTCTCTGATAGCAATTCGAGCTTTATCCAGCTTCGATTTTCCATTCAACAGATCCGGAGATTCAGGTGTGGTGAAGACGTGATCCAGATACAGCATCAATGCCTCATCCTCATCCAGACAAAACTCCCTGTCGATTATAAATTCAGTGACAATGAAAGCTAGACATTTTAATGCAATAGTGTATCTGGCTGAGTTTTCATTTTAATTTCCAGTCTTACCGACAAAATTCTTGGATCAGGGAAACAGAAGCTGCCTCACTTTGGACGAGTTGCGGCAGCAACTTTCTTTTTTCACTGTCAGGATTTCCAAATACTTCACTGAAATTTATCTACAAAAGCCATAGCTTTATCAATTGATTACTCCTATAACCATTTTAATGTTTCATACTCAGCACATTAAAAATTTCTTGGTATGCATGCATGTATACAATGTACAGTGTATGTATTTTAGAAATTGACATCTCACTTTACTTATTACATTTGCCCTGTTCTCAGTAAATCTTAGTAGATTATTTGGTTTGGCATTCTTCCTTATGTTCTCACCTTTATTTTTCCCAATCTGTGTCCCCAGCTGGCATTCTTTTTCAGTTTCTCACACATCTCTATCACTGAGGCCTCTCTATAAAGCTGACCAATGCCTATACCCACATTACCCATGGCCTATAAATAAACATGTTCACTTTCACTACACACTTAAAATAAACATATTCACTTTCTCTACACACTACCCATAGCCTGAAAATAAACAGGTTCACTTACTTCCTTCCAAACAAAATTATTTATACATGTATAACAGCAAATACAACTAGAAAGTCTGCTATTGCAAGCAATAGCGTATGTCGCCCCGTACTGGCTTTATTAGAAATGGTCTAAAAGTGTATTATTCTGTAAATTAACATCAGAAATCAAATGAAAATTTAAATTTCTGTTTCTAAATAGACATTTCATTTTTTCATCACTAAAGCAACACCGCTAAGCTTGGACAACCATCAACTCGTATCAGTCCTTTCAGTACTTTGATTAAAAGAAACTTCTGATAGCATACTATGGTCATGTGACCACGACTTTTCTCAATTCATTTGTTCCTTACCTGGCGTCAGCGACAAACTTTGAAAAAATAAAATATCCCATGCACAACTAGGGTTAGTGATTTTTATTTCTGTAAAGTTTCATGAAGATTTTGAAAGCCACCTATGAGTACACTTGAGTACAAAAATAAGGTGAACCAAAAAATGACTTCGTTTCGGTGGACCTGCTCCAATTTTTTTGCAGAAAACAATTTGATCCAGTAGAAGGAATAAACCTTTAAAGTTTGCAAAAGATTGCTTGCGTAGTTACTGAGAAAAAAAGAAATTAAAGAAGTTTCACTTTTCGTCCGTTTCCATGGCAACGGTAGGAATTTAGAAAAATTTGAATGTTGACTGCACACCTAGAGTTTCTAATTATAATTTCTGTAAAGTTTCATCAAGATTGTTCAAGCCACCTCTGAGAACATACGTGAGCATAATACCTTTTTCCTGTTTTGTTTCTATGGTAACTGTGTACGGCCAATTCCATTTTTTTTAAAAGTAGAAATCACTTTGACACAATGCAAGGAATCATTCATTAAAGTTTCAAAATGATTGCTTGAGCATTTACTGAGAAAATCGAAGTTAAAGAATTTTTACTTTTCCTCTGTTTCCATGGCAACAATTGACAATTTGAAAATTTTAGCACAACTACAATTATTGATCATCATTTCTATAAAGTTTCATGATGAATGTTCCAGGGACCAGAGAGAATGCTCCCGGACAAAATTCCCTACTTTTCGCACGTTTCCATGGCAATGGTAGCCATGTTGAAACTGAAATTTTTTCCACATATATACAGCTGAGGCGTGTTCAACAGCGCTCGCACTCATTTTTGTTGGAGGTATAAGGAATTTTGGCGAGCGCTCGCGAGCGTAGGCTCTGTTGAACAGGCCTCTGGCCATCATCTTTTATGGAGAGTTCCAGCAAGAATGCCCCAGCCATCTGCGAGAAAGTCCCCGGATGTTTTTATGCGTACAAAAGCAATATGTCGCCCGACTTCGTTCGGGGTGACATAATAAAACACACTGAACATGCTCATAATGAATTGAAGCTGACTGCAAAGTGATTTTCATTCCCTGTGGCTTCTAATCATATTGTGAACTTCATGGATATAATGCATTATATTCATAAAGAAGCAAAATTGTTGTCCTTTGCACTTCATTAAAAGTTTGTTTTTCTGTACTTCTATACACTATATACTTTTAACATAATTTCATTTTTTCATCATTGAAAGGCTTAAATTAAAATTTTTTTAGCATTAAATGTTCAATACAAAGTCAAGAATCTTACACTCATTGTGCTGTCATTATATTCACTGTACATGATGAGTCTTACCCTCAGTTTCTTATACTTGTGTCCCGAGGCTTTAATCAGGCTCATCATCATCTTCAGTCCCTCGTTTTTAGGTCGGTTGATGAGTAAAGCCAGGGCCAGTCTGTGATTCACTTCTTGACAGTTAAAAACCTGTAGATGTATTCAATGCATGCAATTAGATTCATGAATAGAAAAAAAACAAGACAACAACTTATGCTTTATAAATAACAATCTCCTCACAAACATACCTTCATGAGAAGAGCTGAGGTGAACTCCCTGATGAGGGGTGAACTTTGCTGCATCAGTTGATTCACTTTATTATTATCCACAGGGTTGCTTGAGTCCTGTGTTAAAAGTATCATTAAAATAAATGGGTCATTTTTTTTCAATACACTCCAGATATTATAACATACATGTGTATAATGGAAAACTTTTGCAGTTTTTTAAGGTCTTCCAACTTCCTTTGGAAGACCTTATTGTTTTCCGTCTGTTTTCTATTATTAAGGTCTTCCGACTTCCTTCCGAAGACCATATTGTTTTTCGTCTGTTTTCTATTATTATTAAGGTCTTCCAACTTCCTTCAGAAGACCTTATTGTTTTCCGTCTGTTTTCTATTATTATTATTATTATTCTTTTTTTCATAGTTATGGCGATATCTCAGCTGTGAGTAAGCAGATTTCAGAGATTTTTTCAGGGAAGATGCATCATGTAAATATCTCCAGACGTGTTTTTCATTTTTTCCAAATTCACTTCCGTTCGTGATTTTTGGGGAAATTTGTATTTTTTAAATGGCATTTTGTCCAGAATTTTTCTCGAGAACGGCTAAAGATATGAAATTGAAACTCAATGAATAGATAGAACATCAAATTCCAATATGGGGAACAACCTTTATTTTTCATCGTTGGCACTTCCGGTCGCAAACGGAAGTGAATTCAAAAAGTATAATTTTTCAACTTTTTTGTTTTTCAATATTTTTCTTTAGGATTTACAGGGTTTATAGAGTGTCTTACAAGAATTCTAAATATGTATTCAATATTTTAATGCGTGCATTTAATGCAAAGATATGACCGATCCAAACTTTGTCCCACTGTCTGTGGTTCGAATCCTGCTGGAAGCAGTTAATTTTTTTTTCCTTTGTTTTTCTCTTTTTTCAGTTGCTAATGACTTCTCTTTCTTTGAAAACATGTATGGTAGTTTTTGCTGATTTTTAAAAGCTTTTTTGTCAGAGATTCTGTAGAAAACCTTTCAACATATACTGAATATCTTTGCATCTATAATATGTCCTTCTAAAACTACTTTAAGGATTTCATTCTTGTCCCCAAAGCTTGACCCATTCAAAAGTTGTCATCCCTTTTGCAATAAAACCTTGTTATCGCTACTCCTCCGAAACCGTAAACCGTAGAGATTCCAAGCCTTCATCAGTGTCTTCGACTAATTTAGTACTCTCTTCATTCTATCATTGCAAAAGCATTCTTTGGTCCCTTGTATGAGTTACTGGCCCTGAAAGTTTATGCTGCTTACATTTAATGAACTTTTTTTTTAAAACGGTGTATCCTAGAGACATGGGACCACCTGCATCGGCATATTTGACTTTGACCTTGAAATATAGGTCAAGGTCATTTAGAAACATAAGAAATTCGTTTATATATGTGTAAAATATAGCAATTCACCAAATGACCTTGAACTTTGACCTTGACATTGGGTCAAATGAAAAGTAAGGACATGCATCCAGCTCCAGAATCAGGTAGAAACATAGAAAGTAAAGATTTATTGGTTTGTTTGGTTTTTTTTTTTTTTTTTTTTTTTTTTTTTTTTTTTTTTTTTTTGGTTTGGGTTTTTTAATTTTGTAATGACCTTGACCCAAAGGTCACAATCAGGCTTAAGGATGTGAAAGTAGTTACAATTCTTAGTTTAAAAGAGGCATAAAATAAATAATTCAACCCCCCCCCTTCTTAAAAAAAATCACATCAACAACAACGTAGAATATTTCTGTAAAATTCAAACAAGCCCTCGGATCGACACCATATTTGGTACAAATATAGTATAGACCTCAGAGAATCTTTCTGGAGAGTTTTACGGTGAGTCTTGTAAGTTTATAGAAGTCATGAAGTTTCACGGCAAAAACTACAAGTTCTGTTGTGTTTGAAATTAAAGTGCAGGTGAACGAAGAAATGACCTAAACCTTTTATCGGCTATTTCTTCAGATGTCGCTAGTAGCATTCGATTCTCCTGATATGATACGACATTTTAATACCAAGCATTCTCTCTTTCTTTTACATTTGGAATTTATTTGATTTTTATTTAGAATTAATCAGTTTCCAGAAATAGCGATTTTCGGTATATCAAAAACAATTCTTGCTTTCATTGTCGTGTTTCCCTTCTAAAAATGCATGTTGGGAGTTTAATTTGTGCTACACATATTTAATTTAACCCAAAGAAATGCTTATTTAAATGTTTCATATTTATTTCAAGATATTCAGTCAGAAATGTTAAAATCCGAACCCGATCTTTTAAGCTTACAACAAAGCTATTTTCAAAAAATTCAGCATGCTCACAATATCGATGAATCGGGCTACAGTCCATTAATACATTTTCATTAGGGAACAGTGTTAACGTTTTCTCATGCAGCCCGTCCCTTGTTATTTTATATACTGCTTGCAAGTTCAGGAACTATTTCCTTTTACGGAACTTCTTTCTTCCCCTACCGATTCTAAAAATACGCTTGTATTTATTCTATAGTCTTAAACAATTAACTTACCCAATTTTATCGGAATGTGTAGCACAGTGGTTAGCGCACCTGCCTTTCAAACCAAGGGTTTTGAGTTCGATCCCAGCTGGAGGAGGATTTTTTTTTTTTTTTTTTTTTTTGCATTTTTTGCTTTTTTTTTTTTTTGGCATTTTTCTTTTTTTCAGCTTAAATGACACGAAAACACTTAAAAAGGTGGAAAGGCCTCTAATTGTTCTCTGAACAATTAGTTTACTAGTTATTATTAAGGTCTTTCGATATATATGATAAGATATGAATATGAAACTTGCTGAGGTGATAGAGCATCAAATGTAGATATGTTGATCGACCATTATTTTCCGTTGTTCGTACTTCCGGTCGCAAACGGAAGTGAATTCAAAAATGTTAAATTTGTAACTTTTTTGTTTTTCAATATTTTTCTCTGGGATTTACAGGGTTAATAGAGAGTCTTCTAAGAGTTCTAAGTATGTTTTTATCATTTTGATTGATGCATTTATTGCAAAGATATGACCGATCCAAACTTTCTCGTATTGTTGCAGGTTCGAATCCTGCTGGGGCGGGAGATTGTTTCTCTCTTTTTTCAGTTGTAAATGATATTTTTCTCTGTGAAGACTTGTATGATAGTTTTTGCTTATTTTCTAAAGCTTTTTTAACAGAGATTCTACAGAAATCCTTTAATAATCATGATCTATGTTGAAAGACTGTGTTACATAAACGCAAACAAAAAATACCTTCAATAAAGTATTAAATGAAGTGAGGTAGCACAGCGATCTGGAGAAAAGTTCGGTCGGAAGACCACTTGTTGCCCTAGCAACAAGAAACGCATCTAGTTTCTTAGTAAAATTTGATTCAACTGTAGCATTGATTACATTTTGTTAATGCTTTCTTTGCTGTTTCATTACATTGGCTATATTGAAAGTGGAGACTAAAAATTTCCTGGTTTTGCCTACTCTAATAAAGATGTGGAAAAAGATAAAACTTTAAAATGCAGCAATGAAATAACCCTACACTAAGCAAGTCAACTGAGTTATTAAGTTCTAGACACCATTAAACAAAGAACTACGCACGCTAACTCCCGATTCCCGCCTACATTTTACACCCATTTAATTCGATACTAATGGCAATTTGGCCATAAAATCTTTGTTGAATGCAAAGAAGAGTTCACTGGTAATTGATTAATAATTTTTATACCAGTGTTAAATAGTTAATTACTTGTAATTTCAGCTCTTTTTTATGAGAGGGGGTTTCTCATTGAAATCAGGCTTGAAAGCATCAGCATATTTTAAAATATTTTTGGAAATGGATAAATGTTCTTTCAATCTTTCCTTATGTTTTACCCATATAAAATTAAACATATAATTTGATTTGTGAAATAACAATTCATATTACCCATAAAAAGGAATTTTTGTTTCACGGGGGGAAGGGGGGGGGGAGGGAAAGATGTTTACCAAATATTTTCTGTTGATTTCTATAGTGAAAAACACAAGTTTTACCAAAATTATAGAGTTATATCTCTCTGTTTTCCCAAGTAAGTAATGTTTTATGAAAGTTCATATAAATATCTATATAAATATGAAAAATCATTTAAATATGTTATCTTTTGAAAATTGACTTAGAGGTAGGCGGGAGTACAATACTAGCGTTTGCAGTTCTTACATGTTGTTCTGTGGCTGGCATAATGGTTTCCATGGCATTGAAGGTCATATGAAGGGCAAACTGTAGAGCCAGCAGGTGATGACTATTGTCCTTGAGATGTTGGAGGACAGGTAACACAGTCTGTTTCTGGACTGCCAGGTCAGGGCTAGGTTTATCTTCTGTAGAAAATCAAAGAAACATTAAAGCCTTTTGAAGAAAGTGAATTGTTCAGTGAAGTTTAAGAAAAATAACTTTGCATAATACACATGTATAAAACAGTTTTAAACTTTTTTTTTACTTTCTAAAATGTGCTTTTTCCCACAATTTAGAAAGTTACATCTTGAAAGTTGGAGTTATTACAAACATCTGTTTTATTCAATCCTTTAAACATAGAATCTTGAATTCATTCATAATCTGCACCAACAGGTATACTAAAATTGTTTGCATTTGAAATATAATTCAGATTTCTTCTTGAAAACACTGTCATTCAAAGGAGTGAATAACCTTTAATACATAAATTGTGTCTGTAGTTTACCATTAGCTGTGGTAGCTGGCTGTGACTCTGCATACTTTGCGACCAGTGGGAGGACAAACTGTGAATTCATCACAAGAGCATCATCCTGAAATGAGTCATCAATTCTCCAATCTCTGTCCACTGTCTTGCCCTGTACAATTCCCTCCCAAATCTCATCCTAAAATTGAAGAAATTGAATGGAAACTGCAAATAATTGGAATTTTTCTGAGTCCAAGGGGCATAACTCTGTACGAAATTGCTCGGTCATACCCAAAACAGAAGTTGTCCTAGATATTCTTATGATAAACCTGGATACTAAATTTCATTTCAGTTTGGGAACCTCTGCAAAGAAAATGAATGGAAACTGCAAATAATAGGATTTTTTCTAAGTCCAAGGGGCATAATTCTCTCCGAAATTGCTCGATCGTACCCAAAACAGAACTTGACCTAGATATCCTTGTGATAAATCTGTATACCAAATTTCATTCCAGTATGTGCAACCTCTGCAAGGAAAATGAATGGAATCTATTGGTGGACCGACCGACAGCAGCAAAGCAATATGCTCTCCCTTCTTCGAAGGGGGGCATTAAAATATGGGGCATTTCAAAGAAAGACATACAACATTAGTTTAAAAGAGCTTATTTTTTCCTCCATATGAATATTGCAAATGCACCTGACAGGTGTAAGTGTACATGAATTCACCATATTACAGCAAACTCAACTGACAGGCACACTTTGTCTTACACACACTGGTTATCTTCTTGACCATGCATTGAAAACTCATCTGAAAGGTGTTTGCAGCCTCACATTGATTGTCAATATCCTTACAAAGATTTGTCATCCGATAAAAAAGACGTCATCTGACAAAAACAAACTGTAAACTCACCCCACTTTGACTGTTCACAGCTTTTTGCAGACTAACCAGTTATCTCACCTAGCAAGCACACACCATAAACTCACCTGACAGGTGCTTGCTGCTCACATTGGCTGTCTATGGTTTTACAAACTCATATCACTTCACAAATAGTAAACTCACCTGACATGTACTGGATGCTTCAAAGTGACTGTCTACATCTTCAACCAAACTTGTTACCTAACAAATACACACTGTAAACTCACCTGACAGGTGCTTGCTGCTTCACATTGATGTCTACAGCTTCACACAGAATAATCATCTAACAAATACACACTGTTAACTCACCTGACAGGTGCTTGCTGCTTCACATTGATGTCTACAGCTTCACAGAGAATAATCACCTAACAAATACACACTGTAAACTCACCTGACAGGTGCTTGCTGCTTCACATTGATGTCTACAGCTTCACACAGAATAATCACCTAACAAATACACACTGTTAACTCACCTGACAGGTGCTTGCTGCTTCACATTGATGTCTACAGCTTCACAGAGAATAATCACCTAACAAATACACACTGTTAACTCACCTGACAGGTGCTTGCTGCTTCACATTGATGTCTACAGCTTCACAGAGAATAATCACCTAACAAATACACACTGTAAACTCACCTGACAGGTGCTTGCTGCTTCACATTGATGTCTACAGCTTCACACAGAATAATCACCTAACAAATACACACTGTTAACTCACCTGACAGGTGCTTGCTGCTTCACATTGACTGTCTACAGCTTCACAGAGACTCGTCACTTTACTGAGTGTGATCAGACTCGGCAGGAGACTCGGTGAGCACATGTTCATGGCCTGACACACCAGTTGATGTGTGATCTTAGGTAAGCTCCTCAGGTTCTCTACTCCATTCTCTGATTCACTTAACACTTCTTGTAGCACCAAGGCCACATTGTAGAAAATCTCAGCAGTCTTCTCTGAGGGACCCGAGTCCAGCAGTTTCCTAATCACAAATAATTACATCAGTCAGACAACAGGCCCAAGGGTCAATTTGTTAGTTGCCAAACTTAAAATATATTTTCAAAAAATATTAACATCCATACTTATTAGTGTTGTCAACAAGTACCCACTTAATCTGTTAACCATTAAAGGATACAAGTATATTACAGGGTAGCTCAAGTTTTAAGAATTTGAAAGAAAATATTAAAATCATTTATGACAAGAGGTCCAAAGAGCATTGAAAGCACAGTCAGAATAAATTATGTAAATAACAATACCATACTATCTCTAAGATTGTGTCTTTTAGAGTCGAAAGGTTAGAAAATAAGATTTAGCAAATACATGTATCTTACCAAAGTGTTAACACTAATACATATACATGTATTACAGAGTACTATTATTAGTACATACTTGCAGATTCTGAGAACATCTTTGATTTCTCCATTTTTAGCAGCTTGCATGATCATCTCCCCTTCCATCTCAATATTAGACACCTGTAAAATCTCTGCCAGTCTGAAAAATAGAATTACACAGTATTACACAACTCTACATTTTAAATTTATTGCATTGTAAGTCAGAAACTTTAACCTAGTGCCCCTTGTCCTGAATGCCACTGGGTTTATCAGAATAGCTTTCCTAACATTCATTTTTGTCAGCACAACACACACCTGTAAGCCTCTGTCCAATTTCTGCTCTCCTGAAAGATTAGAAGTTCATGTATTATTTTTTATCAATTTTTTTTTTAAATGCAGTGATATACATGTACAGTACAGGCCACGAGTTTTCCCCGTCGCACGGTGGAAAACACACCGTGTGAAATGCTCTGTGTTACACTGTGTACACGGTGTAGCACGGTGTGTGTGGATTTGAAATACACAGGTAGGCACACCGTGCCACACCGTGTCTAGAAAAATGCCAGCTAATGCACCCCGTGTCGCACCGTGCCCAGAAAATTCCCTCCGTGCCGCACCGTGTCCATAGCATTACAGAGAAAAATCATTTTGTTCTGATAAAATATTTTAAGAGTTTAAAACAATTAGCACATTGATTTATATGTATCAGGGTTCTCCACATTTGAAAATTTAACCATGGAGGAAGCTGCGCGAAGGCGAAATGTGACCGAAAACAAGAATGAGTATTAGACTTTCTAACCTTCATTAATCAATGATTGGGTTTCACAAAACTTAACCACTGCAACACAAAAAGTTGAAATAACCAATAATTTTTAAAGCTAAAAATATAAAAAAGATTATGTATCATACTTTACAAATGTGTATCAAAATTGGCCCAAAACTATAGGAACATTTTGAAGAAATTTCAGTGAGAGAGTAACCATGGCAACATTATTCAAAAACTGATATACAGAATTGATGTTGCCTGTTGTATGAAACGTTTTATTTAAATATGACTAAAACTGATAAATGGGAAGTAATTTGAAAAAATAGTTACAGACACACAAACAAACAGAAGAACGAACACCGATATCTTGCCTATGTCTGAGCTTTTTAATTGCATGAAAACTTACTGATGGCATGCATGGTAAAAGTAAATTAATATAACCAGGGGCAATATTTGATGCATATTGCATTTTTCGCCGAGTTCTCTCCATTGTTTACTTCTCCACATGCCCCAGTGCTAAAAATACCACCACGCAACGTTTCCTAAAACGGGAGGTAACTCTAAAACTAAGACGACGATTGGCTCTTATGTACATTTTATCAGAAAGATAATCAAGTTAATACTTAAAAACAAAGCATGAGGAATTGATTAAATACAAAGAATAGGAAATTTTGAAAGGGTTAATTTTTTTTCTGGGCACAGAAACTTGAATCGGATGCGTGTCGATTTATATCATGTTGTTACTGCTCGTTATGTCATCTTTTGTAAATCTGTTATCGTATAGTGAACACGTTGGAATTCCCCGAAATTACATGTGTATAGGATAATTAACTCTCAAGATATTGATCATCAGCTGATTGACTCTCCATTGTCACGCTTCAGAGCATAGTTGCCGATCAACGACCGTGTTTGTTTAGCCCAGTTGGACGCTTCCCCTCGAGGCGTGCGAGGTGCATGGCAGTCATAGTATAAACACAATTAACTACTCGTTATTAAAAAGTAGGTATCAATACTGAAATTAAATAAAAATTTAATCATGGCGGACGCCGATTTTAACCATGGCGCAGCTCCTTTAACCATGGCGCACATAAAGGATGACTGCACTTAACACCTGTTTTTGGGTCTTTTTCGGTTGCTTCTGTTGCTTTTATATCTAAACCTTATCTCACTTTTGTATGTTTATGAAAGAATATTGTCAATTTGGAACCACATTTATATCTTAAAATGATCTTAGACTGTAATACAATAAAATGATTCAATGTTTTTTGTCCTTATTGCTTTCCAAATATAGTGAATTTACACTTACCTGCCCTTGATTGAACATTAGATATGCATGAGAGGTGGAGCTAACATTGTAAGAATGGGTCTAAAATTAGACTTGATAAATAACAATGACATGTTTGGAAAAGCTAACGTGATCACTCTTTCCAATCTCCCTCTTTATTCTGTATGGCACAAATACACTTCTGACAAAGGTTTCAAAACGAAATTAACAATATGAGCACGTCAATGTGATTAAAGCAGATTTCATATCAATGCCAGATGACTTAACGTGTTCGAACACAATGTCCTAGTTAGCACAAAACATGCTACCTTACAAGTCACGTGACGGAATTAAGTATTCACAAAGTTACCTGAGGTAGAAATCACGTGGTGAATTATAATATTCAACATGTCACAGTCCTTGGTTACAACACGGAGAGCGAATGTAAGAAGAAGCAGTTTTTTCTCTTTTTAACCATGAGCGCATGTTTGTCTATTAATCTCCTTTTGACACAGTATTATTTATGCAAATATACAACTACTGTTGAACGTAGAACAATAGACAAACATGCGCTGACTATGTATAAAGTCAGTAAAAAAGTGGGCGTCCTCATTATCGAACGAAAATTCAAGAAATTATGATGACCCCTGCCTTTGAAAACAGATTCGAACTTCGTAAATACACACTTTTATTAAACGTAATTACATAAAGTTGTGGATTGGATGTTGACCATTCATGCAATGAAAAGAAAAATGCTTGTTTTGAAAGTTTATTTTGTCGCAAATTCCGCATGTCCTTAAGTGCAGTCATCCTTTAACCATGGCGGGCCGCCATGGTAAAACCCCTTGTGGAAAACCCTGATGTATAATTATCGTTTTCTAATCTAGAAGACATTGACACGTGTTCTGAATTGTACTAATGATACATGTAACAGGATTAAATATCAGTAACAGAAATATTAAATGGAGTTGAATTTACCGTTCGTCCAGAAGTTCATATTTCGTAAAGTTGTTTAGTTACTTTTTAAAATTATTTGGATTGAAATTTTTAATGTCTGAAGAATTTTATCCCACGTAATCACGTAACGAAGAAATGGCATGATCAGTGTTACATGTGGTATACGATCCAAGCTGCATGCGGTCCTACTAAACAGAGTACGCTAGTACGATAGAGTACTTTAGAGTACGCTAGTAAAATTTAATAATTTAATGCAATTTAACTACTTTTTGTATTTTTTCTACTTTAGTTAAACATAATGAATATATATTTTAAATTAGATTTGTATGTTTTCCTTATTTTAGGAGTTATTTCAAATTCTGATTTCAGGTGACGGTTTATCGTTTGATCCCGATCTAATTTAACTTGAACATGTTGAAATGTTTCATTGTTAATGTAAAAAATATTTATATAGGGCAATAAATTTAATTTTTGATAAAATTTAGTTGAAGTTAGTAAGTCTGAAACAAAATATTAATCGAGATCAGAGTGTTAATAATCTTTAACAGTTTAATGCATCGAATCATGAATGTTATTTTCTTGTCAAAATAGCGCTAAAAACAAATATTTTGAAATAAATATTGCAATATTAGTTTATAATAATGTTTAATCGAGTTATATTTACATAAATAAACAATTTAATTGCATTAAACTACACATTTTTTCTAGCATACTCTAAAGTACTCTATCGTACTCTGTTTAGTAGTACCCTCTTATAATTATTATTCTGAATTTATAAGCGAGAATCGAGAGCAAAATTCCTGTGTACAATAATGTGCGTAATTTTAGTAACAGAATAAATTCTCTACATAAACTACATGTAGTAAGTATAAATTCTGTTTTAAAAATCCTTTCGGTGTAAGAATTTAATATGTTTTTCCTTAATTATGTAAAGAAACAATGCCAGAGAAAGGAAGGAGAGAGAGAGATGCTCTTAACCCCCTTTCACATATGTCTAAAGAAAAAAAATCATTTAATTCTTCGTTTAATAATTCCGAAGCGTATTTCTCGTAACGGACTTTTTTTTTCCTTTTTATAAACTAGTATTTATGTTTTAAAACCCTTTCAGTGTAAGTATTTTATAAGTTTTTCCTTAATTGAAAAGTGTGTAAAAAAAAAAAAAATTCAGAGAGAGAGAAAGAGAGATTCTTTTAGCCCCCTTTCACATAAATCTGTAGAAAAAATTAATTCTTCGTTTTATTTACATTATTAAAGTCACAATTAACCATTCTATAATACTATTTAAATTCTGTAACATTGTTTCATAGTCAACCCAGTTGCAATATGTTATTCTCGGTTACACACTAAATCCTGCTATACCTGTCAATCAAAATTGCACGACGCTAGATGGCCCAGAAAGTCTGTTTAAGCGGAAGGTCTTGTGATTTGAAACATTCTTATGGTCAGTTCCGAGTTCACACCTTTCTTAAAAATATATTGGGACACAGCCGGAGGGCCAGGGGTGCTGTGTGTTTATCACACCTTTCAAATTCGTTCGTCTTTTACCACATCAAGTGTATAACACACTCAACTGACGTTCAGCGAAATTCATCTACCAAGTTACACCACCACACGTATACTTTGGCTTGATTACAAACTAACTTTGTAAATTATTCATTTTCAGACACATATAAACATGTAACCTGTTAGATTATGGTTGTTTTATTTCACAATAGCGTAACATAAAAAAATCTTCAGACTCTTGATTAATTTAGAAGGGGGGGGGGGGGGGGGGGGGGGGACAAACGTAATAGCTTGAAAGAGGCCAGGGATTTTACTACATGTAACGACATATTTTTTTTCTCTAAAACCATGATAATAACTTTACAAAGACTTTGATCATAAGAGAAGCTTTTATTCTATGCATGTACATCCCTGAACTGCATTCGCTACATGTAATTGATTTTTTTTTTTTCGCTAACCGTTCTACACATTTTTCATTAAATAATTTCAGGATAAGGTAATATTTGTACAGTATACCAAAACTCAACTTTTTTTGTGTGTGATATATATTTACCTCCATATTTTACAAGATTACAGACTGCAATAATCCTTAAATTATCAGAGAGTTTATGAATTATGTGCGTGTATCTGACACGTTTTACATTTTATTTTAGATATTTTTTTTAAATTCTCTTTATGTAGAAATGATGCCGACATTGATCGAGGTCCACGCAAAAGCGTGGACTTGCGATCCACGGGGCCCCGTGTTTTTCGGGGAAAACTCGTGGCCTGTACTGTATATATGAAATTAAAGAATGCATGGAAATGATTTTGAGCCTTATTAAATTACCTTTTTGAAAAAGTCCACCATGTAGCTATGCAGGGTTTTCCTTCTGAAGTCTGGTTTAACATACTGGTCCAGTGTTAGATAAATGGAGAATTCTTTCTGAAATACAAATACACATACTGGAACTTGACATATTGGCATTGCCACATTGAAATACAATTCTGTATGCTGTTAATTTTACATAGTTTATAGACATTTCTCTAAAATCATCAAAGTCATACAATATTATTGACAAAAGGAGAGCGGCACACATGTAACTGTATAATGTTTACTGAGAAAAAACTTCAGTTAAAGATAGAACAGCATATACTATGCTAACAAAAAGGCAGTTTCAAGTTGTATAAAGTTATCTTAACAAAACTGTAAGTTTAATTTTTCAAAGAATTGACATATCAACCCTACTAGACAATTTGATTGTACAGAAGAAAACATACCAGTAAGGCATGGACATTTTTCAAATTAAACAGTAGAAACTCTAAATCCTCAACTTCAAAACGATCTGAAAACAAAACATCAAATATCATAATGTTCTTCTTAAATACAGATTTTATTTTTATCATTTTGTGTAAAGAAAAGTGAAAACTATGATATAAACTTATCAGCAGTACAATTAAGGAGTGTTCATAGATAATTATAAATCATATCGCATTCATCAAAGCCTACATAGCTACATGTGTCTGAAATAAAAAGAGATTCATGTGAAATTTGTAAGAAAACTTCAATGTAATCTTCCTTTCATGTGAATATTTAAGAGAGAATGTCACGAATCATCAAGCTTCAGATGGAAACTGAAAATTTTAACCTACTGTTTTCTTTTATTGGTTGTAAAAAGTGTTCATAGTAAACAACTTTCACATAAATGAAAATGATGTTTGACCAACGAAAGTATTATTTTTTCCCCTTATTATGTGTTGCCATGGAAACCACCATAAGTTAAGAAAAATAGCTTCAATTTTAACATTTTTTAAAGAATATTCTTTACAAAAAGAATACAGATATCACCTACAAAAGACTTTATGCTAATTATTGAAGATGTATAATATACAAAAAAGTTTAAAAGCAAATCTAAATACCTAGGCATTTGTTGCCATGGCAACACAAATATTGTACAGTTTTACAGTTTGAAAAATTTAAAATTACCTCTCAAGTTTAAACTTATATATATAAAATCTAAAACAAGCTGAGCATTAAAATGAAATTGATTCTTACACAATACAGGTTGATCTTCCAGAATGACATATAAAATTGAGAAGCATCTTTATTGTTTATGTGGAAAAAAACGGTTAAATTTTATGTTTTTAACCCTTAAAAATGTTAAAAATACACAGCAAATTTTAAGGAAAACTTTCAATTTCTTCCAAATTGATAATTATTTATGTATATTTGCTAATACACTCTTGCATTATCAATAAATATAGTGATATCATGAGATAACAATAGCAACCAAATGATGTCCATAGCAACAGTTAAAATTTAAGTTTTTACACCATATAAACTTTAAGGCTAAAAACACACATCAATTTTTAAGGGAAAAAACCTTCAATTTCTTCCACATTGATCTATTTCATGTATATTTGTTAATATACTCTTGCAACATCAATAAATAAAATGATATAATGTTGAAATAATTATGTAATGTGCCCTTAGCAACCAGTTTTACTGCATAGTAACCAATGTATTTTCAAAACACTGAAAAAAAATGAAGGAGAATATGTATTTATATACAGAAAACAAGATATTTAGCTTCATCTCACTTATGAATTATAAAAACATATTCAAATTTCTGCATCACTTATGTAATCTGTGTATAGCAACCAAATGAGGTCCACAGCAACAGGGCTGAACAGACATTTTGTAACCCTTAAATTATCAAAAACTGTTGGTAACACTCCAATGAACTACATGTATTTATGAAAATTCAGACAAAAGCATGGTCAATTTATTTATGAGAATTTTATTTTTTTTTGGGGGGGGGGGGGGTAACCTTTACATAATTTGTCTTAAATTCAATATTTCTCTTCTTTTAATTGATTAGTCATTCCTCATTCAATGAAAGCTTCAATCCATTTAATTTTCATCTGTTTCTTGATAGGGCAATGCCCATGTTTACAGCATTCAAAGAAATCATCTCAAACTGTACTTTTTGGAACATAATCAGAGAGACCCATAATGCTGGTGGCTTCAGTAATCTCACTTGTCTCAGTCATGTCTGTGTCTTGACTCCCTAGCAATCACAGTCTCTCATGAGAATCTGACTGCTGTGTAAAAACTTAAAAAAATGAAACAATATTAAACAAAGTTGCCCAAACTACATGGAGAAAAATTGACAATCTCAAAGGATAGTTTTTTTCCTTTAATCCGAGTAAAATTAAAATATTACCTTGGGTTCAAATTAGCAATTTATGAATAAAAAGAAAAAAAAATAAGAAGAAGAGTTCCATAGCCCACACTGCTCACCTGAGCCACCTATGCAATGCTATTATTTTTTAGAAGTTTTTGAAAAACATTCCAATCTATATTCCCATGAAACATTCATGTTCTTACTGGGGCTGTACCCTAGCATCAAGAGGCCATGACTTATGCATACTTGAATCCACTCACAACAAATGCATATGTTGGATAGCAATATGACTTATGTAGCCGATCTGTATAATGTAAAATTTGCTTCCATATTTTAGCCCCACTCAACCCAGCTTGTATCTACAAGACTTGGGAATTTTGATTTTCTCATAAAATATATTGCACACCATTTATAATTTTGCTTGTTATTGTCACACTAGGATACAATGAGTTCATTTAAGAAATGAATTCAATGAATTCAACTTTTGAGAATTCATAAGGATATGAATTAGGATGCTTCACACAATTTATTTTAAGAAACGTGATTTGAAAAAATTTAAATCTACATAGGGGTACCTGAAGATGCTTCCATATCAATATGACTTATCAAGATCTTGCTGTTTTTGAGAAGAAGATTTTTAAAGATTTTTTTCCTATATATCCCTATGTAAGACCTTGATTGCCCTTTTTGGCCCCATCCTACCCCAAAAAGGTCAAGATTTGAACAGAACTGGATCTACACTATATAATTAAAATTTCACATAAGTTTCAACTCATATGTATCTGGACAAGTGGTTCTGTTTTTTTTTAAAGATGCCACTAAATTTTCACTAGGTTTTTCTCCCTCTTGAAAGATTGTGTGGCCTTTCTATGAATAAACTTGGATTTCCTTTACTCAGGGATGCTATGTAACACTTGTGGTTGAAATTGGCCTTGTTTTTCTGGAGAGGAAGTTATAAAGTTTACAATTGGACAGACAGATGAACACTGAACAAATGTGACCACTTGAGCTTACAGCTCAGGTGAGCTAAAAGGTGCAAATGAAAAAAAAAAAAAACAATAATTATTATACATGATAATATACTTACATTATCTTAAGATCCATCTGTGCCTAATACATGTATAACTGATACTGGTTTCAATAGATGATTTCTTCATTCTCTCTGTGAAAGTATAAAAAAAAATTTATAATTATAGGTTTGACCTTGAAAATATGCCTGTTATTATACTGACTTTTCCGTGAATGTCAAAATGTTATGACACACGTCCTTTAACTTGACAATTGAGAAATATTTAATGGAAGAAATAAAATACATTTAAGAACATTTTTTTTAATGGACAGAGGGAATTAAAATTCAGTGATCACTATTGGAAGGTTTTACATGCATGGGCATGTACATTATGATGCAGTATTGTACTGTGGAAACATTAATTTTATGGAGTTTCATAAATTTTAACAATGCCACACTTCTTCAACCATGAAATTAAATATTTTTTCTCAAACCTTGAAAATTTGACCCCTCAAAATTAAAAATATATATAAATATATATATTTTACAATATTTCTTTTCTTCTGATCAGAGACATAAACAACAAATAAATAAATAATGATTTATATTTCTGTTCTTATTTAATAAGTCTTTCTATTTAAAAGTAAATGACTGCTAATACCAGTGAATAATTGCAAAAGGCTAAATTGTCTTTTTTGCTAGATGCCAGCAGCATTTTTTAAATATTCTGTTGAATCTGTAGAGTGTAGAGTACATGTATCTGCATGTAGAGCTACCCTGTATAATTTACATGAAATTCTGTACTGCTGCTAACAAGCGTTTTTCTTGGCTTTTGTAGAGTAAAAAAGGAAAGAAATATAGAAATATGTTTATAATACATTCATGCATTATCTTTTATCTGAAAACAAATCAGTTTGACACTGTCATCTTGCAAAATTAACTAATGTATTGTAATTTGCAATTTCCATGCGCAAATCTGATCTAAAGAATTTCATAGTAAAAGTAACAGTAATATGACCTTTGCCAAGGAAACAAAGATCCCTCTTATATTGGTAAGCATAGTAATATGTCTGAAGGAATTGACTTAAAAAAGTATCTTTTCATCCCCCCCCCCCCCAATCCTGAAATTGAAAAGGTTTTTCAGAGATTTTATAATTTTTTTTCTTGCATGTCAAATTTTTTATGTTTGCCACCCCCACTCCATCCACTGCAAAAAAAAAATCTTTGATCCGCAACCTGAATTTCAATGTTTTTTTTAAATGTATTTATCAGTTGTTTATACAAATTAATGTTTCGCTTTAAGAACATTTTAAACTGTTAAATAAATTTAAATAATTATTAAAACATCTGTGATTATAACATGTACATAGATGTATTAGGCATTTCAATAACAAATAAATATAGAGAAAATACGTACATGTACCAGTTCGATAGGTGTCGGTCTTGATTGCCACTGCATCAGCTGTGCATTGTATTCATGTTATTAAAATATTTGCATCAAATGAATATAATTGTTTCTGCACATTTCTGCAAAAAGGAAAAATATTTATAATTTGAAGTAATGTGCGTGGCGATTTTTTTGGATAATAAACAAAGGAAACTAATTCATTTGAATTTTACATGCATTTAGTTACCAGTTTACTGTAAACAGATGAATGGAGAAAATTCGGATAAGGAAGAAAGTCCCCTTGCAGAAATCATTCCTGACTTTGAAATACTTCTCAGGAATTCCTAAGATGTCCCAAGAATTCCTAGGATTTCCTCACAATCTGATATGAGGAAATCCTAAGATTAATAATCCTGGGATTTGAATTCAGGACTTCCTGGGATCTCCCAGGACTTCTGTGTTAAACATTTCAAATCCAAATCTTGCCAGGACATTTCATTGTAAAGCCAGGAGTTACTTATTTTTATGATATTCCCATTTCCTAAGACTTTTGACTTAATGTCAGGACTTTCGTAAACAAGACAAATTAAAATTTATTTAAACATGCACATGCTAATAAATGTTATAACATAATGACAGGAATTTATACATGTATTGCTTTTAATGAATAATATCCAGAAAATCATAAAAAGAATAAATTTTCAATTCTCACATATTATACTTGATACATAGAAAGACACTGACCCTAGTACAATTTATTTT